GAATGTAGCTAGCTCCATACCTTTTCCGTTTCGCTTTGGTCATCTCCTTTCGTAAAGCAGCACCGTCTAAGGGCTTCAAGAGTTCAAAGGCGCAAAGCAGGTCTTCCGAAACGCTGTAGTTTGGGAATCAGCAACGGTCGGGAGAGAGTGTGGGTCAACAAACCTCATGCAGGCCCCATAGTTGTCGAATTCTGTATAGATACATTAAAAAGTAAATAGGAAGACATGTAAAGACGTCACTCACCACCGCAGTAATTCGGTGCACTAAACACCGTCACCAATGTACGATCATTCCAGAACTCGTATCCGTCCTCCACCACCATATGAGCTCGACAGATTAAATCCATGTCATACCGCACCAAGAATTCGTTGATGATGGCCTTCCCAAAACAGTAGCTTACTCCTCTCTCATTGTCTTCCCAATCCAGTGCAGTATCCGACGGATCTGACCACAGGAGGTCGTTGAGTAGACCATAGTCCGGAACGTCTGTTGGCCGCTGTATGCGCTTGATGTCGTCCATGGAATGTAGGGATGGTGAGAGGCCACCGTGGACACAGAATATCTTCGACGCTACAATGGCGGCAATAGGCAGGCAGTTGAAGACGTCAATGAAAGTCTTCCATGTTTTGATGTTACATCGACGCTTGCATTCGTCGTAGAAGCCGTAGACTGCATGAGAGGTGAGAAGGTATCAGAGAAAGGACGAGATAGACACACCTCGTGTGACGTTCGCACACTCGTGATTCCCTCGCAAGAGGAAGAAGTTCTCGGGATACTTGATCTTGTAGCAGAGGAGGAGGAGGATCGTCTCGAGACTCTGCTTTCCTCTGTCCACGTAATCACCCAAGAATAGGTAATTGGCGGCGGGAGGGAAACCACACATCTCGAAGAGGCGGATAAGGTCTGAGTACTGTCCATGCACATCACCAACTATCTTCACTGGTGGTGAGAGCTCAACGAGGGTGGGCTGACTGAGGAAGACATCCCGCGCTGCGAGGCATATGGCGGTGATCTCTGTGTTCTTCAGACACAGTGACTTGCTGACCTTGCCCGTGTAACCTACGTCGAGCAGACGCTGTATCATGTCGTCCACATCAAATTGCTTGAGCTTGGCGCCGCCATTGCCGAGTGATTCACCCGTGGCTCCATTACCGTTGCTGTTCATGGAACCTGGGTTGAACGGGGTTGCATTGGAGAGGATAGTTTGGGTGGCGGGGATATCTAGAGGGACAGACGCCGCCGGCTTTGGAGACGGGAGCGGAGACGAGGGTAACGACCCGGACAGCTGAGGAGATTGATCTGGTTGAACGCCTTTCGTTGGGTATGGAGACCCATGCACTCGGGGATTTGCGTTTGCAGTGGGCGACACGGGGACGCCTGCTGGATCCGATACATTGATAGAGGGGTTCCCGTTTGGCAAAGACGAACTCGCTTCGGAACTGTGGGCTGTTGAGGAGGCCGCAGCACGGACGGAACCTTGAGGTGTACTGTCACCAGCACCGTCTATTTGGGGGTCTGTGGCAGCATTGTCGGGGGATGGATCCTTGTCCTTGCCGGCCTTCTTGGACTTCTTGGAGGGTTGCTGGCCCATCTGGGAGGACTGCGCGCCTGGGGGTTGGGGGGATTGGGGCCGCGATTTTGACAATCGGGAGGTGAAGACGGAGAGGAGAGTGGGCGCCAGTTTGAGAAGAAGGAAGAGGACAGAGGGGAGGAATGGCAGCCCAAGACGATTGGAAGCACAGCCAGTTGGAATCAAGTCACTGCAACAATCACTCCCTTGTTGGCACTTGTTTGCGTCATATCCCTCACTCACACTGGGATCAGTCATAGAAATCATGTTGCATACAGTTAAGGTATAGCGTAGTGCATGGTGCAATCGTATCTACAGGCCCTACTCCTAGAACTTTCCAAACGACTTGCTCGCAGCCTTGTTCTTCGCCACCCGCAGCACATTGAACCGCACAGTTTTCGACAGTGGTCGGCATTGCCCTGTCAAGATCATCAGCTTATGGTCTCGATCCCTAAGTCCCTCCAGACGCACCGACAGTGACAACATCGCCTAGCTCAACACGGAAGGCGGGAGACACATGGGCAGCCAGATTCTTGTGGCGCTTCTCGTAACGGTCTAGCAGTGAACATAAGCGCCGATCGGAGTGCAAGCGCCTCATGTACGCACTGTATTTGGGAATGTAGTGGAGGTAATCCCGGCGAATGATGAGTGTTCGGTTCATTTTCGTGGAAACCACCTTGCCAGTCAGGATACGGCCACGGATGGAGATGTCTCCAGTGAAGGGGCATTTCTTGTCTGAACACGAGAACGGCGATTGAGCACAGGAGCAGTATTTCAGTCAAGAGAGCACACACCAACATATGTCCCGTTGATGGCTTCCGATGGCGTCTTGAATCCCAGACCAACATCCTTGTACCACCGCTTCTCCTTTGTCGAAACTTTCTTTCCGCCTGTTCAAAAATGTCAGAAATTGGTTAGCTATCATATTCGTTGTGAGACGGACCACGGGCTTTGGCGTTTTGGAAGATGGGTTGCTTTTGATACGCTTTCTCGATCTATTTGGACAGTAGCACGTATTAGAGAGGTCGCGAGATGAAACTTGTTCAGATACTCACTTGAGCGTCAGCCATGGTGTCGGTCTTGAGGTCGAAGGCGGCGTCGTACTTTTGGCGATTTGTTGATACTTGTTTGTAAGGTTCACCGGGAGCCACCTCCGAGAAACTGTACAGCTGCTTCGGCAACTGCCGGTGTGCCCGCTTGGGTATCCTCAATGATTACGACGCGTCGCACGATTGGCACAACAATCTAGGGAATACCGCGACTCGAGAACGACGAGAAGAGATTTCATGCTGGGCAATCCGGGTAGTAGAGCATCGTAGTAGTCAACAGCATTACAATAACCGCCTTGGAGCTACGACTAATTTACTTAAACAATCTGTGATGCATCTAACGGTTCTCCCTGTCTCAAGATCTCTTGTAATCCACGCGTGTTAGGAATCCAGTAGTTAGTCGCAGATCTAGAAGAACATCCAGTTGATTTCCGACACTCGAAGAGACTGTCGTTCCAGTGGCTACCCCGCACGCTTATGTAATTGCGCGCTCTGACTCTGCGATGTAGGTCGCTGCCATTGTCTGCCTTAAGACGTTTTTCAGAGTGGGTATAGCCCAAAACAAGCGATGTATATAGACGTTCTTACGCGAAGATTTCCATCTCGGACTGGATCGACTCTACGTCTGCACCAATCTTGCTGCTTGGCGGTGAGCATAAATGGGCGACGCGACGCGCTTGTTTACACATGTTTGTTGCTCGACGCGTTTCGTTTCTACCACAAGCATCATTTAGGGTATTCATGGGCCGTCAGCAGACCTTGGGTTAGTCCTCCCATTCTCTTCTCAATTCGGTGCCTCTAGAGCTCAAGCATCCTCCCAGGAAAGTTCTTCGATATGCCAAATTCGACAAAAGCAGCCCCACTGCAACAAAGCAGCCTCCAGGAGATGTGGGGAAAGAAGAAGGCGCCAGCTGCACCTCCTCCGAAAGCAGGAGAAGACGCGATGGATGTAGACAAACTTCAGGACCAAGGTGAGGTATGTACTGTTGACTATGAAGACAATCGTTAACACGATACTCCAGCTGAGAGCTCTAAGCGGAAGGAAACCGCGCCACCTTTAGCGTCGAGTAGGTTCCTCATCAAACCACGACCTATCTGCGTTAACTGGTCTCTTCCAGGCTCTCCTAGGTCAAAGAAACGAAGGATAATAGACTCTGACGACGAACCTGATTCAAATGACACGCCTCAGGCACCTAGCAGTACTCCGGCAGCATCTCCTTCCAGCAATCCTTCAGCGAGGGCGTCTAGCTCAAGCTCAAGACAGCCCCTTAAACTCAAAGGAAGAGAGAAACAAGTACCTGTGAAAGCCCAACCTGCATCTGTTCCCGAAGAGGAAGGTCCATCCGCTAGTGAGAGTGAGGGAGAAGATGAACTAGAGGCAGAGGAGGAGCTGGAAGAGGAATTGACAACAAACAAAGCAGTCACGACCAAAAAGTGCGTGTCCTCCTTACGAATCGCCAAACCCCAAAGCCGATAGGCATTTGTGTTCCCTCAGTGCTCAGATTGCCTTGTCGAGACGAGACGACGTTGACATCGAGGGTGGTTGGAAAGTTGGCCAACCGTGAGTGTACCATGCTTTCGTTTCGCCTTTACGTCATACATCTCAACTTCGCCCCTCAGTGTTCCCTATGCAGCTCTGGCGAAGGCGTTCTCACTTATCGAGGCGACAACGAAACGATTAGAGAAGAATGCTATCCTGACTTCATTCTTGCTGCTTGTCATTCAGAGAAGTGCGAAGAATGATCATACCTCCCTTCTTCAAGCAGTATACCTGTGTATCAATCGGGTAGGCTCTTATGTTCTCTCCTCTGAACCAACTGCTTATCCCAGACCAGTTGAGCCCAGATTATGTTGGAGTTGAACTGGGTATTGGGGAGAGTTTGTTGATTAAGGCCATTGCAGAATCAACGGGGCGAAGTCTGGCTGTCATTAAAGCTGACCTAAAGAAAGAAGGCGACTTGGGTTTGGTCGCAATGGTATTACTGTCCTTGGTTTTCTTACCCTCGTCTGACCGTCCTCCAGAATTCCAAAAACAGTCAGAAGACATTGTTCAAACCAAAACCACTGACCGTTCCTTTCGTCTTCTCTCATCTCCGTGATATTGCACTATCTTCAGGCCACTCTGTAAGCGCACGGCAGTGCTCATCTCGAATTCATCCTTAAGCTGACCGTGTCTGGGCTTAGTCACAAACAAAGAAGGTGTCAATTATTACAAAGCTTCTAGCTGCATGCCAGGACCATGAAGCCAAATACATTGTTCGAAGTCTGGAGGGCAAACTTCGGATAGGAAACGCCGAACGGTCTGTGCTCGTTGCCCTGGCACAGGCTGCTGTCCTTGCAGAACGAGAACGCTGTGCGTATTTTTATCTCCAGCCTGTTTTGCATTCTCAGTCATCTCCGTCCTAGCTGCCAAGAAATGGAGTCAGGATCAGCTCGCGACACGACTAGAAGAGGGTACCAACGTCATCAAATCTGTGTACAGGTAGTTGCTTCATCTTCCCTTCAAACACACCCCCACTTCATGTCCGACTTCATCTAGTGAACTGCCGACGTACGACAAAGTCATTCCCGCTCTTCTCGAAGTCGGCATCGATGGCCTGAGGGGAAAGTGTAAACTTACTCCTGGAGTTCCCCTCAAACCTATGTTAGCAAAACCGACGAAAGCGATCGGTGAAGTACTGGATAGATTTGAGAATAAACGGTTTACCTGCGAATACAAATACGACGGTGAACGTGCCCAGGTCAGCATAGTCGCCAATGCATTGGTTCCTGTCTTGACCTGCAACGATAGGTGCACAAACTCGAAGACGGCACTGTCGCAGTCTTCAGCCGAAACTCCGAAGACATGAGCAAGAAATATCCAGATCTAGTCGACCAATTGCCAAAAGTTAGTAAGCTTTAGCAAGAAGCTATTCCTGCCACACGGCTGATATGATTTCATTCAGTGTATCAAGGAGTCGACAAAGTCGTTTGTGCTTGACTCAGAAGCGGTGGCTATTGACCGAACAACTGGAAAGCTCATGCCGTTCCAGGAGCTAAGTCGACGAAAACGCAAAGATGTGAAAGTTGAGGACATCCAAGTCCGTGTCTGTCTGTTTGCCTTCGACCTTCTGTTCTTGAATGGGGAGGTTGGTCTTCCTTTTTTAGGCATAAAATGGGCCTTCGCTGACCTTGTTTTCTATCCCTAGCCTTTGCTCCAACTACCGTTGCAGAAACGGCGTGAACTACTTCGACAGCACTTTGATATTGTTCCTGGAGAGTTTGATTTTGCCAAGTCGTCAGACAGCGAGACCACAGAAGAAATTCAGAGCTTCCTGGAAGAAAGTGTCAAGGATGGTTGTGAAGGGCTCATGGTCAAGATGCTGGACTCTGACGCAAGCTTCTACGAGCCAAGTCGGAGGAGTATCAATTGGCTGAAGGTATGTCGATCTTTTGCCAAAACTAGGATTGGACTTCACCACTTCATTCGTTAGCTGAAAAAAGATTATCTTGCTGGGGTCGGCGATTCTCTTGACTTGGTAGTAGTGGGAGGTTACTACGGCAAGGGCAAACGTACCAACGTGTATGGCGCCTTCCTCCTGGCGTGTTACGACAGCGAGTCCGAAGAATTCCAAACGATCTGCAAGATCGGGACAGGTTTCAGTGAAGAAGCTCTGCAAAGTCACTACGACGCCCTCAAGCCACTAGAAACGACGAAGCCTCGAGGAGACATTAAAGTTGGAGGCGCCAAACCCGATATTTGGTTCGAGCCAAAGACCGTGTGGGAGGTCCTGACAGCAGATCTAAGCTTGAGTCCCATTTATACTGCCGCACAGGGTTTGGTACGTTGTTTATGACTTCATTTAAAAACTTCGCCATTCTCATCCCGTGTTCATGACATGTAGGTGGAAGACCGAGGTATATCTCTCCGATTCCCTCGGTTCATTCGAGTTCGGGATGACAAGTCGGCCGATGACGCGACTGGGCCGGAGCAGGTAATAAAATAGTGGACTTTGTTCGCTCATTCTTGCTGACATCGTGTAGATTGCAGAGATGTATGAACGGCAAGCACTGGCTTCAAGCAACGGGAAAAAGAAGAAAGGTGGCGAAGGTGACGATGAGTTTTGGTAGAACACCTCAGGAGCACCTATTCGCGTTGGGTTTATCGTTCTTCGTGTATTTGTATATTAGCGGTATAAAGAGATAGGCATCTATTAGTTTGCTTTTTTCGATTCCTCTGCAGCCTTGACAGCCTGCAAGACCTTCCCCTCAACTGGAGTGGCGCCAGCCGTCAGACCAAGTTTCTTTTCACGACCCCCACGGTACCAGTAATTGACAAAACGGATGTCCTGAATTGACTGGGCGGTCGCATTCGTAAAATGGCAGGCGAAGAGCAGGTAGTTGCGCGGTTGAACCCTCCAGGCTGCAAGAAAGAAGTAAGGGTCGGGGCACTGTGGAAATGGAGACAGCAACGGCACGCACCGAAACGCATGAAGACCAGTCTATGGAAGGGAGAAGGGAATGAGCATGGAGTCGGCACGCGAGTAATGAGGTAGGACGACTCACGAGTAACAGGCGAGGGCGGTGGTCATGGTCCCTGAGATGAGCTCCTCATCCTTCTGGAGGTCGGAAAGGGCGGCTAGAGGTAGACCCCAGTTCGCGACCTGGACGACATGTTATGTAGAATCGCATAAGTCTGGGTGATTGTTACATACTGGTCCCCAAAAATGGGTGCCTAGACGAGTTGGTGAGTGATTGGAAGCAAAAAATGTGGTGATTTCGCGTACTAAAGAAGTATTCACGCGCCGCTGGCGACCGCAGCCAGGTGAAGAAGGTGGAGGACATCGGTGGGCAGAGGAGAGGAATGAGGGACTGAGGGCACCGAGTTAATGGGGCCGCGCTCACGTGTCGACTGATTTGTCCCAGTTTACATGTAATGGGCTGCAGGCGACTGGCGCAGTCGTTGGCCACGATGCGCCCGCCTCCGAGCATCAGAAACACAGCTGGCCTGCTATTACTCCGCCGAGGCCTGTTATGCTCGCAAATGTCCCTCGAACAACCGCACCGACCCCCGAGAGAAACCCTGATAATTAACTCGCTCCATATGGAAATACTCAGTGCCCTCTGACTCTCTTGCACGTTGCCTCTTCATATCTTAGGCCGCTCGTCAGTTTTCTTCTCTTTGTCCCCTTTCTTCCTTTTAGTTCCCCTCTTTTCTCGCTCCTCGTTGCCCAGCTTGTCTGACAATGCAACAGCAGCCATATGGGGGCTATCCCTACTATCCCCAGCCCGTATACCCACATACACCATACATGGGCGGGGGGCCACCTCCAGGACCGAGTGGCGGTTATCCCCCCTTCTATGGCCCTCCCAATCCTCAACCGCCCGCACCTGCACCTCGGAATCCCAATCCTCCCGCGCCCACGCCTTACAGCTTCGACGCAGCGGCTTACCCCACCGTTAGGCCCGCCACCCAGCACGAGACCGGCCCTCAGCTGAGAAGGCATCGTAGGACTCTGACGATCCCCACACCCGCCCCAACACCGGCTACGACGACTGCCCCTCTGAAGTCCGCAATGAAGAAGACCATGACAGTGTTCAACGCATTCGGATCCGGAGACAACCCTCTTACGAGACAGTCGTCCAATAGCCAACATGGACACAGTATATCCAAGTCCCGACCGCGTGTGTATTCCAACCCTCAAAAACCACAAAATCTCGTAGAAGATCCTCCCGAGCCAGATACACCCTGTGAGTGTCTATCTTGATTGATGCACCATGAACAATTCAGTTTATTTCCGCCCTCAGTCCACATGATGGTATCCTTTCATGGGTACAATGAGGTTCGCGTTGAACCTGCCTTGCAGTACGCGTTGGAGGATCTGCGAAAATATATCTGGCCACTGTGGCCTGACGGGATCGAGTCCGACGAACTTGTCGGACATACCTCCATCACCAAATTCAGAAATGCACCTTGGGATCTAGGTGGGAATAACGTCCGACAGTGAGTGATCCATGTCAATCTCAAGATTGTTAGCTGAACGCCCTCTCAGTGCGTACAAATTCATAGTCGAATTCTTCCGATTATTCCAACAGAGAGTGAGTGACATCATATTCCGGTTCCGCTATCTAATCTCGTGATGCACTGTAGGGATACTCATATCAGACAGCCATGAACATTGCCACACCGGTTCGTAGCACCTACTCATATGACGGGAATGGAATCTAATTTTCACCATCCAGACACCCCGGCTCATCTTTCAAATGACCAAGCCCGACCAAGCAGAATTCTTCCTGGGTTTCCTTTCTCAAGATGGTCGGAGAATTACGCTTATCCACCCGCCAAACCACATCGACATCTACATCGGCGCAAGGTTGCGTACAGCGCTCCCGAAAAGAGTGCTCTCGGACGACGTAGTCGATGAATACATGCGTGTCATTGAATTGAAGCGCAGGCCCAACACTACGACCAGTACGGACGTGGATGTTCCTCTAGTTTTTGTGGAGGCGCTTAAAATCATCAGCGATCTCGGCTTTCACTTGGATGCAACGATCCCTCTTTCACGGCGGAATTCATTGGGGATGCGATCCTCAAGGGAATTACTTGTTTTCAAATCCATAGCCAAGGTTTCTAAGTGAAGTGTGATGTCTTTCTCTGGGTTATTTCTTTGGGTCAGTTCGACGCCTCGCAGACGCTCCTTCGTTATGTATCTCCTTCCATCATTAGCTTGATATGAATTATGTCATATGGCATATTGCAATTAGTATTCTACCAACTCATAGATGATGCGCACAATATTATGACCACGATATGACTCACTACTATCTGTACTCTAGTTTCACATTCCACAGCTCTCAAAGATCCAAATAGACTATGTCATCTTGATGACCTTGGAACCATCTGCAACTCCAGTGAGGCTCTTCGCAACGAGCTTTCCATCTGCATCTTTTCTCTTAAAGAGCTCATCCCACCATCCAAAGAGGAAATCGCGAGCAATGAGTTTGAACCAGGGAGTAAAACTCTTGCCTTCGCAACCCGTTAGCAGAAATTATCAGTGAAAAAGTGGGAGAAAGCTTACTCGGATCCTCAAACATAGCCTGCAGCTCCTCCTTGCTCACATACTTGTGGTCGCGGATTTCATTCCGGTTGGGGGTGACATCAACATCGGCCGTGAGGAACAAGATGTAATCAACTACACCAGTGCTCAGCAACACGGAATAAAACAAAAATCCAGAAAAATCGTTCGACTTACCTTCGTGTTCGCCCCACCTCCCATCGGACGGAGCGAGGTAGTGGATCCGAGTCAGATATTGGAACTGATCGATAGGCGTCTGGCTTTGCGGGATGCCAAGCTCATGCTCAAGCTTGCGGGAGGCAGCGACGCGTACACCGAGTTGGTCTTTCTCGACCTTCTCAGCCTCGAAGTCGTCAAGCGGATGCGAGCAGCAAGTGTTGGTCCACATGTCGGGGAACGTGATCTTCTCGGAGGCGCGCTGCTGCAGGAGAAGCTTGCCGTCGGAGGGTCGGAAGACGAACGCGGAGAATGCGCGGTGTAGGAGGCCCTTGCTGATGTTCTCCATGAGGTGGCCTGACGGAGGTACGTCAATCCCGAGGTGCCGCAGAACAACGGGCGGGGAGAACCCCGCCGTACTCACAGGTCTTCTTGTCCATGGCACCAATGGCGTTGTCCTGCTCGTCGACGAGGATGCACCGCTCGTCCATGAGCCGGGACTGCTCCTTGTCGTAGCTGGATAGATCAATTGTTGCAAGCGCCGCACGAGCGGCGAGGACGGCGGGGGAGGCCATATTGCGAAGAAGATTAAAATTGAAGGTGCGTGGAGGTGATTGCGCTGCTAGCAGGCGCGATGATCTAGAGAGTAGAGAAAACAGGATGGTGGGACAAGGTAGCTAGGTTATATATGTGGTTAAATAGGGTGGTGTCAGATGGAAGGAGAAAGCTGGGAGAAAGTAAATCATCGGCAACGATCCTCTCGGACCACCGACCAAGGTTTGATCGGAAACACCCTGCTGGGTTTGTCGACTCTATCATCAGCGGATATCGGGGTCCGCCATCGGGAGAGTAACTCTGAGCTCGAGCCATGGTTCGCAAATTGATATCTGCTCAATACCCCTCATCTAATTGGCCGTCACTGTAGTAATCTGATGATGATTTCATGGGGCCTAATTTACCAAACACGCTGATTGGTGTGTGGGCCAATCTCTTCGTCAGTTTCTTTCATCATCCAATCCTTTCATCTGCATGACAAACCGATAGCAGCACATAGAGCACGACTTTTTTCTCGACGAAGCGAATCCCAGCCAAATTTAAACTGCAGCTTTTTACGGATGGTGTTTTCTCTTGCTGATTTGGGTGCTCGGCGGCATTAGATGATATGGATGAGGACGGGTTCGTAAGGGACCTTCTGTTTCAAACGGAGGAGGTTCTTTGTCCCGAGCACTAGCACGCGATGAAGGGTCAACAACATTCACGAACAGGAGGAATACACGAGCCCACCTAGGCAGTGATAAAAGGCGGCGGCGGCGACATGACGGGTGCTTGTGGTCTTTGGGACAACCGTTTCGAAGGTCAGGCGGCCATCTGGTTTGGGTAAGGTATGATACTGCATTTTGGCGTATCTAAAGGGCTCATTGCTTGCTGTTACACCAAGAAAGTTGATGGCGGGTCCTTACTCGAGAAAGTTATATGAGTTCCTCTCCAGCGTGATGAGATTGAGGTCGGACTTCTGGGTGTCTTGCTGCGTCTCCTCCGGAACGACCCTGTTTTCGACTAGCGCTTCTCAGTGGGCAACTCAAACAAAATCCGAAGGCTCTTACCATCGAAGGCGAAATCCTCCCCGAAGATCTGGGAGTTCCTTCCTGTCAGCGCGGGAGAGAATGTAACTCCAGCGCCTGCCAGGCTCCCCCTTTGGCTGTCAACCAAGGGGCTAGCATGATGGCTCAGCGAGTTGCTCCGGAGTCTTATATCAACCTGCTCGATGACATGGTCGCTACCAGGCCCTCCAAAAGGAACATTTCCGGTGGACGAGCTTGGACCTCCTGCGTTGTCCCATGGGAACAAAGAGCTGCGCTGAGACCCGTTTGCCGGATCCTTAGGACCTAAATCGAAGCCAAGGTTGTTGGCCCCGAGGATGGATGCCGAGCGCGATACTCGTCGAGCTTGTCCTGGTTCCTGTTTCGTGTTAACGGTAGCCATAGCTAAAAGTTTGAACATACCTCGGACGAATGGCGAAAGCCAGCCGTGTCGTCTACCAGCATCCCTACATCCGCGTTGTGATCTAGAACCCGCGGGTTAGACGCGGCTTGGTCAGCGAGAAAGCGACATAAGCATGAGCGTACCCATTCCCCAGTCCAGAGTGACGTCCATCGCAGCGTCGGGATAAACTTCGGGAAGATCTTCTTGGGCCTCTCGTTCATGGTTGATCCTTCTCCGTTTGGGAAGTGGGGCGTCTGTGAAATAGGCGTTGGATTCGATATTGAAACAAAACCAATCATGAACAAACCGTTTTCCTGGTGAATTCTCAAGGCTCCAGATCTGGCTTCTACCTGCACTTTAAAATTCTCTTGCCAAAAGTTGATCAGCCCTTGCTCTTGGACTGCCACGAATGGTTAGTAAACTGATAGAAGTAGCCAATGCGACAGACTTACTCCCTTTAGGCACACCCCAAATGAGATCCTCGATGAGTTTACCGCTGTCTTTCTCTCTGCGCTTTTGCATAACTTCACGCCTTAACGCATACTGCGACTCCAGATATTTGGCTCTGGCGACCTATTTTTTGTTAGATGAAACCGGAAGAAGCATATTTCCGGGCACCCACCTTCAGCTCTTCGTCTGTCAATTCCGTACGTGCATCCAGGAGCAACCGGGTTCGCTTCAGTTTCTGGCGAGGTGTGCCTTGGTTTTCCCTGTTTCTCTCTGCGGTAATGTCCTTCAGAGGCTGCACCTGCTCAAGATCTTGACTAAGCAGCAGACGAGAGAAGGATGTCGCCGGGCTTGCTCCTGGAGCCTGAGATGCCATCCTCAAAGATGGAACATTGTTCTCTGTGTTGTTTCAGCGTTTATATCTGACCGAAAAAAATGGGCTGAACCTTTTCGCATTGGTGTCTACCGCGTCTGAATTTCAGTGCAAGGTGTATCAACCAAAGTTCATGCATACCTTCGGAGCTTTGGATGCATGTCGACGACTTGGGGTCATTGGTACTGGTTCATCGACTATCATTGGAAAAACCTCAGCATTGAAGTTGAAATCATTGTCCGGCAAGTAGTTTGCATCGTCAAAGGCGAAATCCGATTTCCTGGCATCGGCGTCCCTATGATGTATGGAAAGTCAACTTCTGCTTCCAGTGTATACAGAACTACTTACACGCCGCTGCCACGGACGCTCTTGACGGGGGATACCGCCCATCCGAGCTCTCTGGCGAGATCGTCGCCAAGCCCATCTCCAACCTCCAGCCCGTCGGAGAAAGGGAAGAAATTATCGAAACCAACATCCGCTTGCGACGAGGATGGAATGGCTCCTTCTCCAAGACCCCTCCCTGAGCCGGCCTGGAACGACAGGTCGAATGAGGCTGAAAGTAGGTGTTCATGGTGTTCGTCGAGTGTATGCACCTCCTTGCCCACGGCCTCAGGCTTATCAGTGTCTTTTTGTGCAACTTTTGCGCGCTTCTTTTTGTTTGTTGGGTCGAAATCTCTGTCGTCCTCTTCACAGGTTGTGTCGCTACCGCGGATTGTATCTCCTACATGGAAACAATGAGATTGAAATATGCTTTGAGTCTCACCCACCTGCTGCATTCAAAAAGTCGTCCCAGTCCTGAAACGTGGTCAGATGCGACCCACTTCAAGGCTCGACTTTGGACGCACCACGACAAAGGCCTCGTCGCTGTAGTCTATCATATGCGCAGCATTCGGATCGTGCGCAATGGTAAGAGCGGATGGCCTGCACTTAAAAGGCTTGAATGAATGGATCTAAATCAAGGGCTGCGAATCGCACCTAGCAGATGGATTAGCCATCTGAAGCTGGCCGTCCAGAGCACCGGAACTGCGCAGGTCCTGAACCACTTTCTTCAAAGAGGCCACGCAGTTCGTAACATCGGTGAAGAATATCTCTTGTTTGACTGGAGAAAATGAAAGTCTTTCAGTGCCTTGTTGATCTCCGTTCATGCCCGGGAATCTAACCCTTATAGACACTGCAGTTGAGGCAAGGGTTGAGAATTGGATGAGCCGTTAAAATATATGCCGACTCACCGCACGACGCCGAACATCAGATTGCTCGACAGCCTCAACGCCAGAGGTTCGGCGGGTTCGGATATCAAATCGCATAACTGTGTGATGTCTGCAGTGAGAACAGAACGTTTTGGTAGCTTTTTGAAGGAAGATCTGGCTCCTAGTGTAGCAGCCAACCTGGTGGTCGAGCGTGAGGCTTGTGGCGTTCGGTGCGAGAAACCGAATGATCGCGTACCAGAGGAGCCCGAACCCGCTATCCCGTTTCGCAAGTAGCTCTGGTGTAAAGAACATAATTGAAAGACGACCACGGCGCTGTGCCTACTTCATGAGGTTTTTATAGATGGCCGATAAAGTAGATTGTGGCGGAGTTGAATAGCTACATGAATTCGGGAGAAGCAAGTAGACACCTGTCACTTTGTCCATGAGAGTTCGTGAACTAAAAATACACCAAGGTACACCCAGCTCAACAAGATCACACTTGTACCCATCGTCGTCCTTCTGTCCCCACGAGACGAGCAAAAAGGTCATCGCGGCCTCCCACCCATAGGAATTTCTCTTCTTTTTCTTCTTGTTTGCCATCTGAAGAGTCGGTCCATCGGACGTTGAATCCTTTCAGGAGGCCGACCTTCTTTACACCTTTGACAGCAGACAAATGAATGATCATCTTCGCGTTCTGTGACATCAGTGGGGTGAAATAGAGAGTCCTATGCACCAATGTGATCAAGCCTGGAGCTGTGCTGTGCTGGCAAGGGTAAGCTGCGCCCAGAAAGGAATCGTTCAGGAAGCTGTCATGGTTGGTGGACGGAGGGCTTACTGTGGGCTTCTAAACTTGTCTGAGGCTGGGTAATGCCAATAGCATCGGGAATAATCGGATGTCGAGGTGACCAAGCATCCTGTGTGAGCCACTGTCGAACATCGAATTGAGAATATTCAGGAGTGGAAGGGGACGAAGTGACTTTACTGATTTCCCAGGCTTCAACCTCTTTAAATCCTGAATCGCCGACTTGCCAGATGCGACGCGGTCGCCGAACTTCTTCCAGTCAACGGATGGCTGCCAACCTTCGGATCGGGAAGTTTTGTGCGCCTGAAGTTTTGCGCTGAGAGGAGGGTTGGATAAGCTTTCCGTCGATTGATTCTTCTTGCTGTGCTTCGAGGGCTTTGCAGCCTCGACAGGTAGACCGGCGGTTATGCGCTGTGAGATGAGTTCCATGGCGTACTCCGCGTCAGTGGGAACATCATGGAGCGGAGGTGGTAATCTTCGGTGACAGTCAGAACGACATAACGGCGAAGATGGCTGTCTCTCTTACCTCTTCCCGTCACGCGGCGAAAGTGCTGCAAACAACGGTAGCAGATGCCAAAACAGAAAACCAAGATTGAAGAACAGCAGCTTCGATATATATTTTGCCGGGAGCAGCGTGAGTGCGAACATTGCAAACAGACCCTGGAAGAGCTGTAAGCGACCCAAGAACCTTTGGGGAAAAAGAGATGATTCGCACAATCCCATATTTCATTGAGGAAGATGATCTGCGCCAGATAAACACACTAGAAGTAGGCTCAGTAAGATGTCGATGAAAGATTATGTCATACGTACTTTCGAATCCGTTCATGGAAATCGGCAATTTCAACCAATACCTGCAAGCCAATCCTCTTGAAATCTCTGGCTTCAGCATCGTCTTCGGCATCATCTAAGACGGTTGATTCCTGCAGTGGCGGGGGGACGGAGTTGATGCCACTTTGTTCCGGCGAATCGACTGAGCACTTTGTTTTTGCTTTCTCCTTGGCGGTCGGGTTCATCTTGTGTTTCTTCGAAAGGTCATAAAGTCTGAAAAGTCGCCACATTTCCGTCATGCTCGAAGATGTGGCTGATAGCCTTGCAGAAACTTGCTCTCCGAATTCATCTGCGCGTGAAATCTCTTCTCGATGTCGACGGAGGTCGTCTAGACTGGGGTACCGAAAAATCCTTCTCTTTACAAGCGCAAAGATAAGACGCAACACGAACGCAGGCGCTAGCATGTTGTACCACCAAAGTGTCCAGTAAATCTGAACGAGTCAGCAAGATGCATCAATGTGCCAGACACCGTGACTACTTACAGCACAATAAGTGGAGCTGGTCCCAAAATATTTCCATGTTGCAAGTTCCCACATTTGGGAGAGAAACAGTCCATAAGTCGGCAGTATGGCAAGATATAGTCTTTGACAGGCTAGTCGCAGGCGACCAATCGTAAATGGAGGTGCTGAAGGTCTGGGATGAGGAAGAAGGGGAAGGAGGTAACACTACCATGACGTCAACGACCAGTCGCAACAGAAAAAATCTCTAGGGCAAGAAACCGTACACAAGTAATTTCCTCCGACAAACTGCTATAAGTTGGTGGTGGTGCCGTTGTCGGCGGAAAATAGTCTGCATCGTCAGCGCGAACGGGAGTCCACTCTCCATCTTCTTCTTGCATTCTTGAAGACTCAGGTCCTGGCCCATTAGCGTGTTTTGGAGATTCAGGAAGTCTAACTTCCGTAACATGCTGCATAAATCAGGCATAAATGTGGAGTATCCCTTTGATGGGTGAATTGTGACGAACAGAAAATATATTGAGAAATCTTTCTATTTCTTCGCTGTCGTACAACTCTCGGAGTTGCACTTCTGTGAGATCGTTCTCGTCATGGTGGTTGTCATCGTCAAGATTAGGCAGGTGACCCTCCGATTGTAGATATGCATCGACCGAAAGGGCGCGGTAGAATCGTAGGGGAGAAGAACAGGAAGATTCTTGAGCATCAGGGGGGAGAGGGGAAGGGGAGGGCATGGAGGAAAGAGAAGTGGGGGCTTGACGACAAGCTGAGCATCGCCCGCGGCCGTGGTGCTAAGTATGTTGGAGAGAACCGCATTGCGCAAATGCGTCAGTGCGTCATAGCAAGCATGTCCCCGTGAGAAAAGCACGATCACATGACTCAACGCCAGTTGTTGAACTACTATAGAAACCGAATGTGGCAGGAAAGAATCTACATTTCTCCACCACCAGCTATGTCGCATCCCGGCTTGCTCAGCTGGGCAAATTCTGTCCGCATGACAATGGCAAGTGATCCAGGCCGCCAGCTCTTCAAGGATCAAGTTCAGACCCATGGATTTCTGTTCCTCGATGACTACCTCGACAATATTATTTCAGGTGCTAAGCAAGAGTGCGTTCTCCCTTCCATATCTTGGATTCTGCATCGAACGTCATTTCTCGTAGCCCTCTCATAGAGCTTGTAAAGACTCCTGGACGTAAGAAGGCAATTGCCAAGAAGCCCAAATTAATGTCCTCCAAGTTGGCTACCGTTGTGTCAGTATCATTGGAGGTAATGGTTACTTTCCTCTGCAAAATAGGTTCTGCCCTAACCTACTACTAGGATGATGTAGCAAGTGAGAATACCGCTCCAGCTAATGATCTTCAGAAGGCGTTGTTCGCAGCGAAGCTTGTCGAGGTCAACACGCACAACATCGCTAAAGCGGAGAAGAAGGCCCCCGCCAACATTGTAGATGGCAAACCAGTGAGAACTGCTCTGGCTCCAATCCAGCTCTCAAGTTCTTTGTCTCTGCCCACCCCGCATACTACGCAACATTCATCGCTCCTAGAACCGACTGCGCCCCCTTCAGCTGAGCACAACGATCTTTCCATCATCGCAGAAGACGAGGAACCGGTCGAGCGCATTCGATTCTCAACAACTGGACCTGCTGACACACCATCTATCATGAAATCCCACCCTGAACCCGCGCAACCCATCGAGTCATCCAGCATGTTACCGCCATTGCTAGTTCCGCAGGATTCTATCTCTGCCTCGACGTATACCTTCCATTCCATCCCTCCGGATTCTCCGTCTGGCAACAAATATGATACCGCGGATACTGGTGTCCCGTGCAATGTAGAAGTGCCTATCGAGGAGAGCGATACAGGATTATTGCCGTCGCGTCCTCTGAATCACCTTCAAGGCCACGAAATGACGAACACACCCGATACTTTGCACGCAAACGACAAGTTGAATGCGAAGTCTTCTGCCTCATTATTCCCAACTCTCCCGGAGCCTATGCCATTGCGTAAACCTGCCCTTGACCATTCCATGAACGCGGTAATGTTAGGTGCCGCGACTCCCGGCGCAACCGCAGGAAAGCGCACTTCGTGGCTTATGAAAGCAAGAGAGGTCAAGGCACTTGAAGGTACGACGAAGAGGGCTCCCCTTCCGTCTATAAGCTCTATCTTTGCATCTGCCCTATCACTTCCGCAAGGCACTAAGAGAAAGAGCGGGGATGCGTTTTTCGCACCCCTTTCGGGTTTGGAAGAGGAAGAACGTCAACAAAAGGTTTCTAAGATTGTTGAAGGAGAATCGGCCTCACGAAAATCACAAGATGTCCAGGGCCAAGACGCTGAGCAACTGAAACATCGGCCTCAGGTCGAGGAGCGGACTGGCGACGCACAGGAGGAGAATGGTGTCTTGGATCTCCTCAAGAAGACTGTTGAGGGCCTTGGACGCACGAGCAAAACGTTGGGCAAGAGTTTGGGAGGAGGCGCTGCGACCGCTCTCGCTGAAGCAAGGGCAGCTGCCGAGGCCAAAATCGCAGAACGAGATCGCAAGGAGGAGGAAATGACCATGGCAATAGGCCTTGCTGCTGCAAAGGCATCTGGGCCTTCTCAAACCGTTGAGCCCGTAGCTCCCACCCGTCTCAACGAGGGACGAATGAGTGTCTCGGACCTATTTCCAGCGGAGGGTCGTGTTAAAGAGAAACATAAAGCGCCTGAAAAGGTCTTTTCATTTGCTCCCAAGCTACCAACCACACTTTGCCAGCAGGAAGGGGTCACTCGAATGAGCACGTCGACTACTCCTCCAAATTCGCCCCCCCCGCTGCAAGTTCGATCAAACAGCTTTAGCGCTGCAAATGCTCCTGTTTTCAACAAGCCCCCTCCCGTTTTTGTTCCACCTGTTCAGCCCACAGCTGCTGAAAAATCTATCCCTCTAACCGCCACTGGCGCCTCGGCGTTCTACCCGGCGTCGAAATCTAGTATTCTAAGTTCGATGGCTATCGGCCTTTCACCTCGTCTGCCTTCTCCAAAGGGCAAATCACCCGTACCTCTCACTTCTCATTCAACATTGGAGAGCGTACAGTCTGACGTCGTTTTTGACCATAACAACCACATTCCAGCATGGATGCCAAGCACGCAAGAAACTGAATACACTTCCGGCTTCACGAATACGCAATCGCAACCCCAGACTCAGATTTGCGACGAAGATGACAGCTGGCCTGTTGACGAGAAATTGGCCGTCGGCGTTCAGTGGACCTTCGGTGCTTCAAAGGAAGATAGTATGACATGGAGTACCCTTCCTTCTCAGAGTCAGCGAGGTGAAACCGGTCCTGTCACCAGAACGTCACCGATTAGAGAAGAAAGGAGCGCCAAAGAGGACGCCACAAAAAACAGCAGCAGGATACCTGGGGCTTTTGAGGACGTCCAGATGGACGAGGCAGACATTGCGGAAGAACTAATTCCTCGGGACAAAGAACTCGAGGAGATTGTTCTGGGTTCTTCGAAGGCTAATAACGATGTTTCAGAGGTAAGGGTTCCGACCACAACTTTGCTCCCGCACGCTGACTCTATGTACAGTTGAAGTTACCAAGGAGTCAGAGTCAATTATCCATGGCCTCATCAGAGTCATCCCAATCACAGATCGGGTTTCTGGGGCAGGCAAGCAAGTTGCTTAGCAGTGCTTTGGGAACTAGCAAGAAGAAGCAACCTGAGGTCAAGAAGGTCCTCCAGATGGCGGCTGTAGCAGCGAAGAAGGTTAGTGTGAAAGCAGGACGGTCGATAAGCGCTAATGCTGAAATCCCGCTTATAGCAACAAGAAGAGGCCGATAAGAAGGCTGCCCGTCTTAAAGAAATGGAAAGTCGAAGGCAGCAAGCTTCACAACGCAAGGCTGAAGAAGAGAAAGCCAAGGTGTTGGAAGAAGAACGCAAATTGAAGGAGGAATCCGAGCGGCGGAAGAGGGAAAGAGAGGAGCTGACAGATAAACGGCCTCTCAAGCCAGCAGGTAGTAAAAAGGTACCGTTCTCATTCATCCTTTCTCATGCAAGGCCTCAGATTTGGTTAGGAGGATGAGTCGCAGAAGAAACGGAAAGTCGAGGCCGAGAAGAAGCCTGAGATCAAGAAGCCTGCACCCAGCATTCTCCTTGGCAAGTCCCACCTTAAGAACTCCGTCAAGCAACCGGCGGGGCATATCGCTGCTCAACCATCTTCGTCGACGACCCCTGCTACACACCAACCCACGAAGTCTCATCCTGAGCCGTCTACCTCGCTGCTGAAAGGAAAGATGCCCCAGAAGATTCTAGAGGACGACGTCTCGCAACCTTCACAGTTAGTTCAATCCCAGATGGCCGCTCGAGCCAAGGCCCAGATTGATGCAGCTAAACCTACCATCTCGAGCGAGAGCATCGAGCTTCCCGACATCAACAGCGAGTATTCGGATTCCGAGGACGAAGACCGTGTGCGGACGTTCGATCCTCCAGACTGGGCTCAATCACCTGAGCTTCGGCAACAATTGGAGATGCAGAGCACGATTAACCCCGATGAAATCTTCGGAGCCGTACGCCCTCTGAGAATGGAAGAAATGTTCAGAACGAGGACGAGCCGTTTCCGTGCACGGACGAGTTCGGCGAATTGGACTGGGGCCGACCGACTTACGTTCCAAGAAGAGCAAGATTATGCTCGACGGATGGGATTCAGATGAATGGTCCTGGACGTGTTTGATTGTCATTTTTTTATGCATTTGCTTGTATCATGTCCCGGCGCATTTCGGATTGCATTATTTATAGTTCATTTCTTCTTTTTCGTTATCGTTAGGCTTTGCACAATGGCTTGTGCCTCTGCTTCCAATCATTCGACTGACAACCTGAAGAGCAATAGAACACGGACTTCATTTCCGTGAGCAACAAATGCTGAAGGTTATGTGCTCCTGCTATAAACCATACCTTGCATCGACTGCACTGTTTGAGTTGATCAAATCTGAATATCTGAATATCTGTCCTGGGCACTGATATGAAGGTAGATGCCTTTAGCCAAAAGTCCCTCTCACGAGTAGCCGCAATGTTACCTGATAATTTCCGCAAGCCATTTTATCAGGCGCTCCAGAGAGACGAATCTCTTTGGCACCGGTTGGATTTCCTTTTGCTTCTTGGAGCTGGGCTAGGTTTTCATGAGAAACTGCGCCGTCGAACAAAGGCTCTTTCATGTTGCGGATCTCCACAGCTTTGGTCAGATAGTTCTCCGCTTCATTGAGCCTTTTCAACTTTAAATAAAGTTCTCCGATGGCGTTGTAGGAAAGGGCAGTTCCTATATCGTCGAGCCCTAGCCTGAGTCCCTTTTCTTTGATTGCGATTGCCTCCAGATGCAGGCGTTCAGCCGTCGCGAGATCGCCTTTTCGTTCAGCCGCGAGAGCCGAATTATTCAGCTGGATAGCAGCCATCTTCGCATTAATGACACCACGGGAAGGGTTCACAGAGACATCCACAGAGACATCCGAATAAAAGCTCATGAAGTCTTGCCATTGGACTTTTTATGCTGACTAATAGTCACTATTACTAATACTCAAACCAGTTTCTTTGCACGTGGTCAATCTGGGAACGGGGTCACGCGTCAGCGATCTTGGCTTGAACCCCTTCTACCAACTGGCAACAACCACTTCCTTGTCTTATCGAATCCTGCTGAGCACCTGTTCAACACATCCCTTCCTTTCTCTTTTTATGGCCTCCTCATCGTATCCATCGTCACCAGAATTCGACCCCGAACCGGTTCAAGAACCCTACTCATTCAAAGATGCCACAAATGACGAAGTGTTCGAGGAACTTTCAAGGTCGGTCATATTGGAGATCCTTCATGCTAGTTAAACAGACACCTATTTCTAGTCGATTCATTCTCAATCTTCCGGAGGAGGAAATGAATTCTCAAGCGCGGTTATGTTTTCAAGTGGAGCAAGCGTGCGTTCGTACTCGAACAGTTTCGAACAAGGCTGACAGTCGAGATTTGTATCTGTATCAAGTCACTGGTATTATGAAGACTTTGTCCGTGAAACGAATCCCAGTTTTCAACAACTGTCCTTTAAGAAGTTCCTCGCTAAGCTGATAGAGTATTGTCCTGTGTTGCATCAAATTGAAGACTCCGAAAGGGCCGTTGCAGACTTCATGGAATATAAGAAACAAGTGCCTGTTTGTGGGGCAATAATGCTCAATCCTCCTATGGATAAAGTCCGTCACTTGTCTTTCTGGTCCAACTAATTCTGATTGTCTCTTCAGTGCGTGTTAGTGAAGGGATGGAAAGCTTCATCTGGCTGGGGATTTCCGAAAGGAAAGATCAACGAAACAGAACCTCCTCACCTTTGTGCAATAAGAGAAGTACGTGAATTTTCTTTTATTCTCAGATCCAAAGTTAGACAATTACCAGGTACTCGAAGAAACCGGCTATAACCTAGCGGGCCAATTAGACCAAGATACGCCGTGCCTCAAGGTTATCTTGCATGAACAGCTGATTCGTCTATATGTCGTTGCCGGAATTCCTGAGGACTATCCTTTTCAAACCAAGACGCGAAAAGAAATTAGCGTAAGACTTTCTGTTGCTAGTTTCAGGCTTGAAACTTAATAGCGCGTTTTCAGAAAATCGACTGGTTCAAGCTGACGGATCTGCCAACTTGGAAACGGAACAAGCAGGGAGGTAGCAAATTCTATATGGTCACGCCGTTCATAGGGTGAGTCTTTGAACTTTCTTGAATTTCCTATCTTGAATTTCGTTGATGCATCTCACAGGCCTCTGAAGAAGACAATCAACACCTTGCGTGGAAATGGATCTCTGCGGAATATGAAACCACAGAAATCCTCAAAAGCACATCCCCAAGCATCCAGATCTGAACCTCCAGCGAATGCCACCTCTCAGGATTCCACTTTGCAGGCATCTTCTGACAGCAACCAGGTGTATCCGCCCCACCCCCAGCAATCGGTGCCCGTTTCGAAAACTGCTGAAGACAAGATCCAGCTCAATGGCCAGCTTGCCCAGCTGCTGAGTGGCTTGAAGCTCTCCGCCATGTCCGCAGACAAGGGCAAGGAAACCGAGGTTGACGCCAATAAAGCCAATCCAGTCGCCGAATCATCTGCTGCCCACTTGGACGATTCTGCAACGTTGCCTACCGTTTCTCAACGATTACCTCAACCCTCCGAGCAGCCTGCTCTATCGCCCCCACGTACTACATCTGCGAAATCAGAGTCTTCTCATCCCTCAGCCCCCCTCGTTGTTCCAACAAACCTGAAAGAAGTGCAATCCTCACAATCCTCACAATCCTTGACGTACAGCACAACGTCGTCTGGAAATCTAGCCCCTGCCTCCCAGTCTGCTCGCGTTGGCGTAAAATCACCGTTACCCCCCACCACCTCACCCACATTGAGTAGCTCTCGCAGGACTTCGTCTACTGCAGATATTTCACCATATCTTTCTCGAGCAAAAGAGGTCCCGACTTCAGCCAAAATTCTGAAACAAATATCGTTGCTCGAGACGGTGGCTGATGAGTCAGCACGACTTGCCCCAATTATTGCAGCGCGTGCTGCAATGGCGAGCCGAGGAGCCTTTCCTTCAGCGTATCCCCTGCCAACGTCTTCTGTCCCACCTCCTTCCGTTCCGCCTCAGTTGCCTTTCGCAAACTCGCGAGACATGGGTGTTCTCTACTCCTCGGCACATCCAGGACTTCCTGCAAGCGCAGCTGGCTTTCACCCTCATATACCTGTAGAAAATCCCGCATTCGGCAATCCAGATCCCTTTCAAGTCCGTTCGCGAACCAGTCAGGCTGTTCACCGTACATCCATGCACAACCCGACAGGGAGTGTCAGTATGAACCAAAACCACCTGCTGTCAGCTATCAACAGTGCTCGTGTCGGCCCTGTCAGCCCTGTCGGTGCCCAGTTCTACCCGCAACCACTGCCATTACATGCCTATCCTGCTGGCCCCATGCACCACCCTCCTGCTCTTCCTCCTCGAGCACCTCCCCTAGGACATACAATGCACGGATACGCCCCTCTCCAACCCCTCAGCATTCCGCCCTATCCAACCACCAACCTAAGCATGCCACCTAACATGAGCGCCGCACCTAATCCTCCGAACTGCTCTTCCATGTCCTTGCTGTCCGTCCTGAATGCCAGACCGAGCCAATGAGCAGTAGCAAAATTTGCAACGAGGGTGGATCAAGGCTTCTAGTCCTTGCACCGACTGTCTTTAGTGCCACATAGGATCTTCACGCCTCATCTTCCACTGCATCGAGATGACAGCTGTTTTCTCTTAAGCCACCACAGCGCTGTTGCTTGCATGTTCCACACATTCATTACAGTTCTTAGGCGAAACGAACCCTCAGCCTGCCATTCATTTTCTTGAGTTTGAAGTTTGCGGTTCTCGCATATTCTTTATTGCCTCGTAATCCGGCGTTATACTTGTGTTTTATCTGCACGTCATGTAGTCTAAATTGTATCGCCCATCCCGTAGGATATGAAATCCTTGCACATAGTTGTGCGCACTTGTTGGTAATTCTGGAAGATCAGCAGGACTCAAGTTATGAAGGGTGAGAGGCTTCGTGGTGTTTGCGTGGATCTACACCCTGTTATTGAGAAAACTTCTGTCTGATGTGCTTCATGTTATCGGCGCTCGACGTTTGTGAACGTTCGAACCTAATTGTCAGGTGGTCGGTGGAATACCCGGAGTACGTTGGGCTCGAGACGTCTCGAGGAGCTCACAAGACTTCTGTTTGCAGTCAGATTGAGATATTTCTCGTCAGGACATGAAATTATGACTTCAGGGATTTGAATGCCTCCGACCTACCACTATGCCCATATTTGTACGCAAGTCAGCGTTGGAGGCAAGTGGACGAGCAGTGGCAGTGCGCGCTGGTTCATTTCATGGAAACTCACAACACGAAGGAGAAGCACAGGTCGTACATGGTTCAAGTGAAGGCACATTCCCAACTAACAAGGTTAACCTCGGCCATTGTGCTCTGGAACCTCTGGCCGTTGTGGCGTTGGGGCCTAAGAACGGATTTACATAAAGGACAGTCCTCCGGAAGCGATAATTCATCCTCCCATGTTTAGTCGGAGGACACCGGTCGTTTGGAGCATGTGTGCGGCGCCTGTCATATCGATATCAAATACAATTACCACCTCATTGGTGAAATTGTAAAAAAAAAAACCTTGTGCCCAGGAGAAAGAGTGAGAAGGAGAATCAGATAAATACAGGGAAACTGAGTCAGAAGACCAAGTGAGTCTTATGAAGCTGAGAGGAGAGGAGAGGAGCAAGGACTATGGGTAGTGTTTTGAGCTGGATCAATTCGAATTCGGGTGACGGGAGTCTGGCTTGCCTCGGTTCGTGTTACGAACTCGTGTGACGTCTTTTCAGACATTGGGTCAAAAATCTTATCTTCGAAGACCTTGCCTTCCACTTCCATCCCGACGCTCCAGCCTCCTCTCCCCTCTCAGCTCAGCAGAGTCGAATCATCTATCTATTTCTTCTTTATATGGACACTGCTCAGTACTAGACACGAATCATGTTGAACGGAAGCGGGATCAAAATATTTTCGGGTGCGAAGAGCAGTTTTAATCATCATTAAACGGCGCTTGGGCTAACGTTTTGTGTTCTTGTAGGCACTAGCCACCCCGAACTTGCCGAGATCATTGCTCGACGGTATCTATATCATCCCTTTCAGACGTCGAGATCGATCCTCCTTGACTATCTCCTAGCATCGGCCTCCCCCTCTCAAAGGCAGAAATCACGAAGAGCGGAATCGGCGAAACCAACGTCACCATCGCAGAGTCGGTGCGTGAAGACGATGTGTACATTATCAACACTGGCTGTGGTGCGGTCAACACTGCTCTCATGGAGCTCTGTATCATGATCCATGCCTGCAAAATCGCGAGCGCCAAACGAATCACCGCCGTCATCCCTCTGTTTCCCTATGCTCGACAAGACAAAAAGGATAAGAGTCGGGCGCCTATAACGGCCAAGCTTGTGGCAAACATGATACAGAAAGCTGGATGCGACCATCTCATAGTGGGTCAAGTTGTCTTCGTTGGGATCTGGCTGGTGCTAAAGAAACTTCCAGACTATGGATCTCCACGCTTCGCAAATCCAGGGATTCTTTGATGTTCCGGTGGATAAGTGAGTACCCACGGTGCTACTTAAGTTTCTTTTGATTGAAACGTAGTCATTTAGTGTAAGGATGCTGCACCATTTTCGCCGGCTCTGAATTCATGTAAAATTCCTCTAGCTGTACGCGGAACCCTCTGCGATCCTGTACATTAGGACGCATTTTAACGTCGACGATGTGGTAATAGTGTCGCCCGATGCGGGTGGTGCTAAACGGTAAGTGATGTTGTGGAGTCGATGGAGGGAGCTAACGAAGGATAGGGCTACGTCGATTGCGGACCGGCTTGGCGTCGATTTCGCATTATTCCACAAGGAGCGGAAGAAAGCGAATGAGGTCTCGCGAATGGTACTGGTTGGGGGTGTGAAGGACAAAATTGCGATACTGGTGGACGATATGGCTGACACCTGCGGGACGCTTTGTCTTGCAGCGTCTCATCTATCGGAGGCTGGGGCTGTAAAGGTGTTTGGATTTGTGACGCACGGGATTCTGAGCGGGAATGCGCTTGCGACGGTGGAGGCGAGCAAGCTTGAGAAGCTGATAGTGACGAACACGCTGCCTCAGCACGAGAACCAGGCGCGATGCTCGAAGATAGAGGTGATCGACATAGGGAAAGTGCTGGGAGAGGTGATTCGACGGAGCCACTATGGGGAAAGTGTGTCGAAGCTGTTCCACGAGGTGCCATACTAGTTAGATTGAATTGATCGATTGATGCGAGATCTGAGCCGGACGATTGGCGATCGGGTGGCCTGATATGGAGTAGCAGTTTGGGTCGTGCTGTCGACCGAACTGCCTACCTGCCCGTCTTCTTTTTTTCAGCCTTGTGTCCTTCCTCGTCTCCCGCCCCGCCCTGCCCTATCTTTATTTCTATGTTCCACTGACCGCCCCATCCACAACCCCCACACTCTCCAATGCTCGTGTCCCATCCCCCCAACCACCTCACACAACCCCCAGATGCCCATGTACAACACCTCCAAATCCCCAACCACAACCACCAGCCCAGCCTTCCCCAGAACCACCGCCAGCAGCTCCCAAAGGCGCCCACAACAGTCCTCGGCATCCCCAGCGTCTCCATCCAGGATAACCGCCTCGTTGTCGGTAGCTCCCAGACTAGTATGATTCACCCTGTCTGCCGTACCCAAACGCCAGTGCTCATGCCTTCATCTAGGTTCGACGCGCTCCTACACACCCCTCAAGGTCCTTGGAGACGGATCGTTCGGCACCGTATGGCTCTGCGATTGGCATGGGACCCTCCCTCCCGGGACACCTCTGTCCCCGATGCAATGTGGCGCTGGAGCGAGGCCGGAGTGGACTGGAAAGAGGCTCGTAGCAGTGAAGCGTATGAAGAAAACATGGGAGGGTGGCTGGGACGAGTGTCAGAAACTCAAGGAGCTCGAGGTGCGTTGCGGTCCTCTTCCTTTATCGCTTCACGTTTTGAGCAGCCCAATCCCCGCTCCGTCCTTCAGTCGCTCCGCGCAATTCCTTTTCACCCAAATGTAATTCCGCTGTACGATTTCTTTCTGCTCCCCGATACCAAGGAACTCTACTTCGTCTTCGAGTCCATGGAAGGCAATCTGTACCACCTCATCAAAGCTCGCAAGGGTCGCCCGCTCGCAGGCGGCCTTGTCTCCTCTATATTTCGGCAGATTGTAGCTGGTCTGGAACACATCCACGTCAACGGCTATTTTCATCGAGATATGAAGCCAGAGAATGTGTTGGTCACAACAACAGGCCTGTTCGATTACACTTCCGTGTCACCCATCGCTCCTCCGAATGCTCCTAAGGAGAGAGACGTCGTCGCAATCATCAAGCTGGCTGACTTCGGCCTTGCTCGAGAAACGAAGAGTCTGCCGCCTTACACCGAATATGTGTCCACTCGGTGGTATCGCGCACCCGAAGTCTTACTCTTTAGTCGAGATTATTCCAACCCCGTCGACATGTGGGCGTTGGGGACCATCATGGCGGAACTCGTCAACCTGCGACCGTTATTTCCAGGCGCAGATCAGGTGGATCAGGTGGCCAGGATATGTGAAATCCTGGGGGATCCTTCTGACGCCTATGGGGTCGACACATTCGGAAGCCAGATTGGCGGAGGACCGTGGATCAAGGGAATTAAGCTCGCGAAGGCCGTAGGGTTTCAATTTCCTAAGGTATGCTGCTACCTCTACCATCTTCACTGTGCTCTAACGTACGTATCTCAGGTTGAGCCCAAAGATTTTTACTCTTTGTTCGAGAAGACAGTCCCTAGATCTTTGATCCAATGCATTCGGGACCTCCTGCGGTATGATCCTGACCAGCGTCTGACCAGCCGGCAGTGCTTGGAGCATATCTATTTGGCAGAGACGATGCCTCGTAATCATATCACATTGCCAGCCGGAATCCACACATCCCTCCCCAATTCATCCGTCGCTCCCGTGGCTTCGCACGTTAACGGTTCACAATCAAACCCATCATTGGTACCACCAGTGCGTGTGGCGCCTCCTTCGCATTCCCATTCCGCTCATGCTCTACACCATCCCCATCAATTCCCCGACACTTCAATGACACATCATATACCTTATCATATTCACACACCTCATTCATATTCTACCCAGCCGCCGACTTCTGTTGTTGCGCATAATGACTACCGACACCAACCACAACAAAATGGTTGGACAGATTCACAGGCAGACTATCCAATGGGTTCTCCGCTCGAACCGGCTCATCCCAACGGCAATATTGTCGGTGTTCACGATACACCGATGGTGCAAGATTCCACTCAACCGCTCGAAGCAGGTCAGGATGTTGGCAATACTCCTTCCGCGCTGGCCACGAACGGACACAAGGTTGGCAAGCTATTCAGCAAGAAGCCCAGCAAATGGGGTCTTGGAATGTTCGGTGGAGACAAGTCACATCATCCTCTTCCTCCTGTCGACGAAACAAGCCCAGCTCTCATGTTTCCTTCCAGGAAACGTACGCAGTCTTCGAGCACCGACAGCAAGTCCATGCGCGATTCTTCGCCTGTTCGAGAACTTCTTGTGCAAGATGCTAAAAAGAACAAGAAGGAGGCTCAACGGCTTCACCGCGAAGCTGAGTTGGAAAGGCGCAAGCTTGCAGAAAGAAATGCGCGAGAGCAAGCCCGTGCTGTGTTGTTGAAGCGACAACTGATGTTGCGCAAGAACGTCGGTGATGACCCAGAGTGGCGCAGTGGACCTGAACAACCTCGGGTTGAGGTGTCGGAGGTGAGAGGAGGCATGCAACCATCCTCTGGCCCTGTTCGCCGCGACCTATCCGCAGGCCTCGGCACATCCACCCTCGGCGCTGCTGGAGGCAAGTATGCCATACCGCATCCACACCCGGACCCTATACCTGACCGAGGAGAATGGAGGCAACCGTCGGAGCGGGTTGCCAAAGCTCGACGGCGGGAATTCGACGACGACCATTCCATGTCCTCGTCAGATGTTCACAGTTTAAGTCGAATGTCGTCAATATCCTTCGCGACTGTCGACAGTGATCCAGGACCTTCTCAGCTGCGCAACAGACCTAGTCTGTATGGCATGAGTCGAATGACTTCTCGTTCTTCCCTACGGACTTCCTTTGACGATTTCCCACCCTCCGCTCGTTCCTCTAACTCTTTCTCCTTGGAAGGTCAACTTGCACATGATTTCCGCACACAGGCCTCCGTTACCTCACATTTATCTGGCAGTGTATCACCACCGCCCCTCCAAACGTTGTCGTTGTCCCCCACAATTTCACCTTCCATATCACCTTCTCCGCCATGGGTGCATCTCCAACAACAGAAGGACGATGCCCTATCCTTAACGCAATCACCGCCATATCTTTCAATTTCCCCTCACTTCCTTCCTAACGGCGGTGGCCCTCACAGCCCTCTAGACATCAATGGTCAGTTGCCGCCTCTACCACCTAGTCCCTACGGTTACCCCCCGAGCTCGGGCCATACACCCAAGTCAGCCAGGTCAGCCCGGTCAGCCAAGTCTGCCATCAACCCGATATTCAAAGTGGTGAGTTATAAGTGGCCGTAACAATGTTCTGGTCTCTGATGATTATGCCCAGCCTCCACTACCGCCTCCTCCACTACCACTCCCAGTTGGTAGCCGACTTTCATCACCTAATGCCCTTCCTCCCTTTTCCGAATTGGAAGCTGTGGCTGGTGGAGGCGAATGCGAGCACCCTCCACTTTCGCCGATGATTTTTACAACCCCAGAAGATGTTTGATCTTCGGCCCAACACGTTCTTTTGATTTTTCGTTTTCTTCTCTTTGGTCTTTTTCTTTCGTTCCTTGGTCTTGTCGTTGGTCACAATCATTGTCATCTCTTCTCTCACTCAGCAAACCACATCACTCATTTGTCCAATCGCACCCAGGAGGTTGTATCAGCGGCATGGCATATACATAATGAACCTGACCTTACCCCTGTTCTCGCTCCTCGAGTAATTTGTCGGTTTTTCCACTCGTACCATACTTACTCTTCGTTAGTTGCATTATCCAACGCCGGAAGCTACGTACAGTAGACAATGTGTATTTTTATATACTCTCTGCCTTGGATGACAAGCAGGGAGTTGGACGATCCAAATTCAGAAAGGATTAAAGCCAATTTTGTGGTCCGCGGTGTTCTTGACATTCAAGTCATAACATTTATCGCTAGGTGAAGCTCGTTCTATTGTTTCGTATGGCAACATATGGGGATGACTATTAATGATGATGGGGGTCTTGTTCGAACCGAATTCCACTGGGACAAACCGGGTCAGCGCCAGTTCATAACGCAAATGTGGAAATGGACGTACCAATATCTATAGCGAACGGAGCGCGGGTAGGCATATATTGAGCCACTTCTATCCAGAAACCCAGATGACGAGAAACGTATACACACCCGCATGCACGAGGTCCTGGTTGGTCCTGTAGGATGAAGGTAAGAACGCGTTGCATTTTTACGAAAGAACACAGCAACAGCCGCGCTCTCATAAATGGATCTCGAGTGGAATGAGCACATACCAAGTTAATATAAATTTTGGGGTGGCCCAACGGTCCTCCTCCTGATATCCGGAGAATCATTTGCAGTAGATACGTCAGAGAATGAAGGCCGCCAGACACAGGAGAAGAGGGGTGCGTACCTCCGTCGCAAATTGCTTTCCTTCCGTGAACAAGCCGGATCGGCTCCTGGGCGATAAGTTCCATTGCGCTGAGAGGGTTTGGCTGAAGAGCCATGTTTGTCTGTTCAAAGCGTGGTTCAGAGCCAAAAATGGGGCGAGGACGTTGGCTCGTCGACCAGGTGGTTGGATAATTGGGTGCTTGCTGAGTGACGGGTGCGTCCTTCTTTGCAGCAATAATCTGGTCGTTGGCCTTGACCGCTGCGGGTGAAGCGGATGGTGTCGACGCCGGCCTCGTCAGGTTCTTCAGGGCTTTGCTGAGGGTCGGAAGGGCGCGGCGGCCAAGCATGGTGTGGTGGAGAGTCTAGAGACGTTCAGCCTCGGAATTTAGGACAGATCGCTTCCATTTTGGGAAGCACATCCGCCTGCGTCCGTCCAATCACACGCGAAGTTCTCACAGAACTTTGAATAAGAAAAGTTTAAGAAACTATGAGTTCTGATACATTGACTAACTATGATGATTGATGCTAATGGTACAGTTGCGTAGGGGTTGCGAAAGGCATAAAGGAAAGATGCTGTTAATCATACCACTTTCTAATCCATCTCCTCAATCTCAATGTCATCTTCGTCGGTGAGATCGTCGACATCCATGGCGCCTGATCCTTCATGATTGGGGATGATGTTCAGGCGGTTGTGCGGGCCATCGAACCGTACCCGAACGGTCTCACCGTCCAGCACCTGTCCTGATAGAATAAGCACGGACAGGGGGTTGAGCAAATCCGCCTGGATTGCCCTGTTGAGCGGACGAGCGCCATATGCAGGAGAATATCCGATAGACATCAGATAATTCTTGCTCTCCGCATCGAGGTCGAGCTTGATCTTACGCTCTGTGAGACGTTCTTCAACCTCCTTCAGGCGGATGTCCACAATCTTCAGGATGTCCTTTTGTGAAAGAGCACGCTAGAGGAAAAGTCAGTACAACTGACGAGAGCATAAAAATGCAGAGGAATACTCACGAAAATGACGATGTCGTCGATACGATTGACGAACTCGGGAGGGAAATGGGCTTGAATCGCACCCAAGACGAGTGACCTCGTTTGAGGTTTGACCGGCCCTTCACCCATGTCGTTGAGGTAGGCCGCGCCTAAGTTTGAGGTCATGATGATCACGGTGTTGCGCATGTCAACGATGCGGCCTTGACCGTCCGTCAAACGCCCATCGTCCAGAACTTGGAGGAACAGAGTCACAAACTCGCGGCAGGCTTTCTCGATTTCGTCAATCAAGATGATGGAGTAGGGTTTGCGCCGAATGTATTCCGTCAGCTGGCCACCAGCATCGTAACCTACATAGCCAGGAGGAGAACCGATGAGTCTTGAGATCGAGTGCTTCTCCGAGTATTCAGACGCGTCGATTCGGATCATGGTGTCTGGAGAATCGAAAAGGACAGCGGCAAGCTAAAAATGAGATGAATGATCCTGTCTCGTAAATGATAATGAAAAGAAAAGAAACTCACAGTCTTGGCGAGCAGCGTCTTACCCGTACCCGAAGGACCCGCCATCAGGAAGCTGGCGACGGGACGGTTGGGATTCTTGAGACCGCTGCGCGACAATCTGACGGCGTTGGCGACTGCCTTGACCGCGTCTGCCTGGCCAACGACCTGTTCAGCCAGCACTTTTTCCATTCGGAGTAGTTTGTCCTTTTCCGATGTTGCCAACCTAGTCACTGGGATGTTTGTCCACTTTGCGACGATCTCTGCGATTTGCTCTGGCGTAACCGTGTCTGAACCTCCACCTGAGGCCAAGTCTTCCGCAGCCTTCTTTGCCTCGAGCTTCTCAAGGCGGGCCTGGAGGTCGGGCAGAGCGTAGTAGCGTAGGTCAGAGGCAGTGGCAAGATCATATCTAAAGCCGGAGTCAGAATAGAGAGATGAAGACATAATTGTAGTGCCCTCACCTACGCTCCGCGTCCTCGACTTTGGCCTTCAGCTCGTCGATCTTGCGCCTGACCTGGTTTATCTCTTCTCCTCGCTGCTTTTCGTTGTCATAAGCTAGCTTGAGAGGTTGGAGTTGTTCTTCGACTTCGGCTATGGCTTTCCGAGCAGCCCGTAGGCGCTCTTTGCTGGCAGCGTCCTTCTCGCGCTCTAAAGCATGGATTTCTACTTCTAGCTCGAGCTTCTTGCGCTGCAGCTTATCGATAGCTTCTGGCTCGGTTTCTCGGGTAACGCGAACGCTAAATATAATGATTAATATCGGGAGAGCATAAAATCAGAAAACTACGTACCTTGCACACGCCTCGTCGACTAGATCAATGGCCGAGTCGGGGAGTCGTCTCGAAGTGAGATATCGATGGGCCAGGGTAGCCGCCTGAATGAGCGCACCGTCGAGGATACGAACACCGTGGTGGACCTCGTACTTTTCTCGGATACCACGCAAGATGCTGATGGTCTCTGGAACCGTAGGTTCGTTGACGATGACCTGAGCAAACCGTCGCTCCAGAGCAGGGTCGGTTTCGATGTATTTGCGGTACTCTGCAAGAGTTGTGGCTCCAATGCACCTGAGTTTGCCACGGGCCAGAAGGGGCTTCAGAAGATTGCCAGCGTCCATCCCTCCACCTTCTGCTCCTCTACCAGCCATGATAAGGTGCAGTTCGTCAATGAAAAGGATGATTCCAGGTCCTCCGTTGTCGGCCGCCTTCTCGACTTCATTCAGGACAGATTTGATGCGTTCTTCGTATTCGCCCTTATATTTGGCTCCTGCCATCAACGCTCCCATGTCTAAGGAGTAAAGACGAGCGATGAGACTAGCAGGAACATCGCGCTTGACGATCCGTTGGGCAAGACCTTCGGCAATAGCAGTCTTCCCAACGCCAGGCTCGCCAATGAGAACAGGGTTATTTTTGGTCCTATTGACCGATGAGTGACATCATAGAGTAGAAATGGAGGGTACATACCTTCGACACAGGATACGGATGGCCCTTCGAATCTCGTTATCACGGCCAATAACAGGGTCGATTTTGCCCTCCTCCGCTAGTGCGGTGAGATCAACAGCATATTTTTGGAGGGCATCAAAGCCTTGCTCAGCAGTCTTCGATTCGACTCGTCGATTGCCACGAATTTGTTCGATAGCAGTCTTGATCGTAGCGGTGTTGAGGCTGTTCTCCTTCAAAAGGGCTTCTATCGAAGGGTCCTTGAGAAGAGCGAGGAGGATGTGATCTTGTGCTATGTAGGAGTCGTGCATCGTCTTCTGCAATGATTGAGCCTCGCGCAGAACCTTATGTGCGGCCGAAGAGAATGATGTTTCCTCTGCTGGTGGGCTTTGTGTTGGTAGTCGAACAAGAAGCTTCTGTAGCCCGCGTTTCACAGCAGTCTGGGATACTAGTTAGAAATCTCTTCGACATAAATATGGAAGTTACATACCGGATCGCCTCCTACTCTCGACACTACGGACGCAAATAGGGGAGCCCCTCCAGCTTGCGGTCCTCCAGGCACTGAAGGCTCTCCAGCGGAACTCTCATTGATTAGGATGAAGGCAATGTGTGCTGGGTAAACTGCGAAAACGAGTCAGCTCAACCTCGAAACAAGCTAGAATCAAAGACATACCTTGAGCATTGGCGTAGTCCTTTGCAAGTTGAACGGCTTCAGCAAGTGTGTGCTGGGTCTTATCGGTGAATTCCATATTGCTCGCCATGGTAGGTATTCAGGGTGAGAATCTATGTGGGCGCCCAGGTCTCGAAAAGGTGTCTTATATAGTCTGCGGGAAAAATAATCCAGACCCTCGACGATTGTGCGGCCATGTTCTACAAAGGTCTCGGATCGTGAAGAATATTCTCGTGAACAGTGACATCATGACTTGCCAAATACATCGGCCACCTGTTGTCCGTTTTGCCATCACAACTAAGATATGCTTCATACGTTTTGGTACTGTTTACATAATCGTGACACATCTGTGACACACGCGTCTCGCGGTTAATGAGCCCCTCAGACACGACATCGAAATGCTCGTTCTCTCAATTTGGTCACCCAAAACACTTGAGAATTCACTTTATAGTCTCCCCCTTGTGTAAGTTATGATTATTGACCAATATAACTACAGATTAACAAAGCCCTGCTTTTTCCGGCTCTATTAAGATGGACATTGGGATAACATGATCCCCCCTGTACTTTTTGCTGCCCAGGCTGCTTGTGAACCACTCAGACCCTTTCTGTAAGCATCCATAAACCAAAGAGAACGAGTTGCAAACCTGTGGAAGCGTGAGCAAGATAATCAATCACTGATCACGGATCCTCGTATTCAGTTCAAAGTTGGGTCAACACTTCCTTTTTTTGACTTCCGTTGCCTCTTGCAGTTCTTCACAAAGTTGCCTAGATTTGCTATGGGATTGAATTTATGCTTGCAAGTCATGAGCAGAGGGAATTGTGTTTCAATATGCTATGCGATGTGTCCCGGTGTGTAGTTGCGTCCTTAATTAGCACACTCTCATACGAAAATCCCACCGGGCAGCGGCATTGAGTCGATTTTGCCAAATCCATCCGCAACAAAAGTTTCTAAATGGGAGTATCTTGGACTTCCTGGGAACAGATTTTGAATCAATCCTTTTTTACCAGAGCCCCTGTCACGACCCGTCCCCGGCTCCCGGCACAATTATCCGGCTCTCGAGGCTGTATCCAGCTTCTGAGGCTTGTGGTAATGAGCCATGGTCTTCCGGGACACTTCCGAGACATCTGGGAACGAGCCGTGCGCTTCCGAGGCACTTCCGAGGCGAGCCATGTTTCTGGCTCACTCCATTGTGTCTCCCAGCCATTGTCCCATTGTCCTTCATTGTTCTCCTTGTCCCGGCTAAGTTATCTATTACATAATCATGGTCCATTATCCTACATAGCATAAATACCCATGTACAGTAGTAGATTCCTCAGTCGGAATATCGAACTCGACATACCCTTTGCTCTAGTTCACTGCCGGAATCCGGCTCCTCCCTGTTCATCCGAAATCGGGGACACCCAGACGTTGCGTGGTGGCGCAGCTGCCCTTTCCGTCAAGCTGAAGCCAAGTTCCCACCCCATCCGGCACGGTCGTTACAGCCCCATGGGATTTAGACTGAAATGGCCATTTTGTCACGCTTTGCTTACATAAACAGTACCAAAACGTATGAAGCATATCTTAACTTTGTCTGCGTCAGTTTACCGTTACATCGTCGCCTTGTTCCATTATGATATATGATATGATTTTACACCGCGTGGACCCACTCGGGATCTGCGGGGCATGGAGGAATGTACAAAGGAAGTTACTCGAAAAAAGGTAAATACAAGCCTTGAATGGGATTCTCCTCAGGATCTAAATTGATGCCACTGTCATCGCTGTCGTCACTGACCTCCTCGAATGCGCTTGGATGATGTAGGTGTTGCCGTGATGTACTGGCAGGTTCCTGTGGACCCCCCGTGTCAGTAACATCTGGCCTGCACTTGCCGGACCAGAATAAATAAATTGAGTGAACAAAGCGAGCTGTATGGGGGACTAGCTTCCAGTTAAAGATTAACTTTTTGAGCCAAAAAGTCGCTGCAGCATCGGAGAAGGTAACTGTTTGATGAATATTAGCCACCTGGGAGGCAGTCAGGAAGAAATCATGACGCATGGACACCACAGCCGGTGAGCCCACACACTGGAGAAGAGCATGTTCAGGTGTCTCTATGAAGTCACGACAAATGCAACAACGTCTATGCTCCATAGGAACACCATGAAGAGACACGGAAAAGAAGATACTTTCTCCGAAGAGAAGCTTCACAAGACTACGGCGATGAGAGGTGATCACCACTTGTTGTAAATAGTGACGAAGGGTAGAGCGAATATATTTATAGGAACCATCAGGAAGAGGTTCTTGACGGTCATGAAGAAGATAAAGTCTTCGATTAGACTGAATTTCTACGTCTAATCGAGACCATGTTATCTCGTGAAGTCTCTGTGACAGACGCGTTATGATGTTCGGGGTCATATCGACTAAGAGAGGGAGAGACAACGAGTCCCCGGAGACCTCCTGCAAAGCTGCATCGAGGTCTGACAGCCAAGAAGGCTGTTGAAGTAAGCGAAGAGACTCGCATGCATCTAGGGCTGTGTGGACCAAAGAGTCAACTGGAAGTTGAAGAGCATATGACAAAAAACGAAGAGAAAGGAGGACACGGCGAGGACGAATGGGCATTATCCCTGTTTCAGTGAAAAGAGGAGCCTTAGCACAATGCTTGCTAACACGCAAGAGACGACGAAGAAAGCGTTCTTGGATGGAAGAGAAGTTGTCAATTGAATGTTCCGATACGTCAGGAGCAACATCAGAGGCATGAATGAGGTGACAATCAACGAGGGAGCAGTATAATGTGTGGGCAGTAGAAGGGGGCAACCGGCCATAGCCAATGTAAAGCTCCAAGTTAAAGATAGAACAAATCGAGCATCGAGCGGCTACGGACTTTGCCACATAATGGTCGGAAAAATAATCGCGCTTGGAGGACGTGAAGGTCACTCCGATATATTTGAAGGACTCTGTATAAGGTAGAGGAGAACCATGGATGAAGAATGAAGGAAGAGGGTTGGGAATGGGCCCAAAAATCATGATTTTTGTCTTTGTGGGGTTGAGGATAAGGAAATTATTGTGGCACCAGGAAACCAGAGTGTCAAGATGACATTGCAATCCCTGTGGAGAGGAAGATATGATGGCAAGATCATCTGCATGCTCGGATGAGAAACAACGCAGCCGCGAAGATGAACATCAGATGGGTCTGGCTCCAAACTGAATGTGGAAAGAAAAATATTCCACAGTGTAGGAGACAACGGGTCACCAATGAGAACCCCAGCCAAAGACTTGAACTCATCCGAGAAGTGACCTTCATTATGTAAAGTCGACGCTGTCCTCGCGAGTGGTCGCTGCAGGGAGGTGGCGGTCGTGGATTGGGGACAAGCTGTGGCACTCGCGGGGTGCTAACTGCTCGAAAGTCTAAAATCGGATCTAGTCACGTGACTGGCCCACAACAGGCTGCCATTCCACGGCGAAGTGACAGACCCAAATCCGTTCACTTGCTCATCCACCACAACCACTACCTGTCGATGAGGACCTGAAGCACGACCGCTGCCACCCGTGCTAGCATCTCTCTAAACCTGTACGGTCGTTCTTTACTCCCATGTTCTCGTCCAATCCGATTTCCATTCCTTTCGGTATCATCATCGGACTGCTTGCCTCTTGCGTTCAATCCCTTGGTTTAACCATCCAGCGAAAGAGCCATGTCTTGAACCAGTCGCTTCCGGAGCATCGTCAGCGTGACGAACATCGAAGACCGTCAGTCCTCATTGTTTATGTCCTGTCATATGTGCTCATTCCCTACATCATAGGTTATGGCTGCTTGGTTTTGTCATATTCATTTCATCGAACGTTCTTGGTTCACTGGTCCAAATCGCATCCCTTCCTGTCGTCATTCTCGCCCCATTGGGTGCAGTATCCCTCCTTTGGAATGCCTTCTTCGCACGACTTCTGCTCGGAGACGTCTTCTCACCCTGGATGGTGCTCGGCACTATTCTCATCGCTGGCGGAGCTATCCTCATAGCGTTCTTTGGCATCGTTCCCGAACAAACGCGCTCTTTAGAAGATCTGCTTGAACTCTTTAGACGCCCGACATTCATTGCATACTTCTCAGCCCTAGGGTTTGTCGTCTTGGTCTGTCTGATGATCGTGAGTGAAACGTTCTTCCTGTCTATCTCCTGTATTTACGATGTCGGCCGAACTAGACACATATCGTGGAATTCTCCCTTTCTCGACGGATGGCAAAATCCTCATCCTCATCCCTATCTCCATCATCCTTAAGTGTCGATCTTCCTGATTACACGACAGACCTTGCAACTGGGATTACGGACACCATCAACCACTCAACCATCGCAACTGAACGGACACCTCTCCTGGATCGCAAGTCAGGGTCTTCAACACCTCTCTCAATTTCTGCCATCAACGACATAATCCCCGATCCCAAGCTCACATCTATTAATCGAAAACGTTTGTTACTGGCTGTTTCATATGCCTCGTTCTCTGGTATCATTTCCGGCATGTGCCTAATCTTTGCAAAGAGTGGTGTGGAGCTCCTCGTCCTTACTTTAGGTGGCAAGAACCAATTCTGGCGTTGGGAGGCATGGGTTCTCGTCGCTGGATTGGCCGTTTTCGCACTGCTGCAACTCTGGTATCTCCACAAGGCACTCATTCTCGCAGACCCTACATTAGTCTGCCCATGTGAGTTGTATAAATTCCATATGCAAGAACTTGGTATTGACCGATTGCTAGCTGCTTTCTGTTTCTATAATCTATCATCCATCGTCAACGGGCTTGTATACTTCAACCAAATATCCCTCATTTCCCGGCTGCATCTTGGTTTGGTAATCCTCGGAATTGCCATTCTTCTCGGGGGAGTATGGGTTGTGAGCATTCAGTCTGGGGGTGGTGGTGTTGACGTGGGAGCATGGAACGAAGAACACCTTGACTTCCCAGATGAAAACGCTGTGCTTTGTCCTGAACCAGATGACGAGAACGAAGAAGATGCAAGAATTGGAGAGACTGTCCCTCTCACTCAGCAACCTCAAGCTCAACCGATATCTCGACTCGGACCCGTAGCCATGGATAGAGAAACGCGCTCAGAGTCAAGTCTCCCGAATATACCTACTTCCCCAACAGGCTTAGGCCCCGATCTTGGACCTGAGGGATTGGTCCATCGACACAATCAAGACTCGATGCTTCGGTCTGGCAAGCGGCGGCGCGCTGAAACGCAGCTGTACCCTACCCATCGATCACCCTCTCATCGTTCGCGAAAGCGACCGGCAGCCGATGCTCGTGTATCCTCGTCGTCCACAGCACACCAGGGCCACTCCCGCACGGCGTCCCATCATCATGCGCCGCTGTCGCCACCTCTTGGGACTGGGTTCCAAATCGGCCTCTCACCTGTCAGCCCTGGGTTCACGATTATGCCGCTTGAAAGGAGGAGGCCGAGTGGGATTGGGATCGGTGGGCCTTCTATGACTGACGTCGCAAATGAGGTTGTGGGTGATGGTGTGCGGGCGCGAAGGCGAACTGTGAGCGAAGGTGAGGTCGGCCGCATGTCAGGGGTAGCTAGGGAAAGCTCGGATGTCGAATCTGGCCACGGGGAAGCGGAGCAGAGCGAAGAATCTGCTGCAGCGCGCACCCTGCATGATGAAGTGGGAAGTCGGCCGGAGAGAAGGGATCGCTGGCGATGGCTTCGGAATGTATTTGCGGACAAGCGTCGATGATTTACAACTGCTACATATTTTATTTAATCACACAGTAATTCTTGCATAAGCTTTATATCAGGTCTCAGCGCTTAACGTTGCACGAGGTTGTACGATCCTTTGAAGATATAATAGACGCCTGTTCGTCGTTCGCATGTAGTCTGTGGTAAGTCCGGGAGAATCGGCGACGACGATTTCCCGAATTCTAAAACACCCTATCAAGTTAAATAATAAATCCTGCTTCCTCTTCTCCTCATCCACAGACATGGGTAAGTTAGAGGTAAGTAGTCGTACTCGAAGTGATCTTCGAGACCCACAGGTATTCGAGCCCAGGGTGTGTACATGGCTCAAAGTAGTGCCCATATGGGCGTCGCTAAGGAGCAAGAATTTTGATGCAAAGATTGAATCAAGTTTGCACAAGGGTTCTTCTAAAGAACTCTTCCATAAACTCCCATGTATGGGGGATTGTTAGTCCAAATTTATGCCTTCGTTCTGGTGATACAGTGGGGTAAGTTAAAAGTACGGCCCTAGTCTTGCCATGGTCACCCCCCGCGTATTGAGGAGGTGATAGAAGGCTTAACCTCAGGCTGCGACGATTTGAAATACTGTTTGAGAAACGTCTACAAATGAGAAAATGCGGTTTGTGTGGAAATTCTCCCACCACAGCATCCGGCCTGGTTCAGGGCGTTGATTGATCGACAGAATCACCTCAAATCGAGATCCACCTGCTCACGTGATCGCGTTTTTTTTCCTGTCGAGACGCCGGGAACCCCAGCGTTGCTCCAGCGGACTACACCATAATCGTAGAGAACATGGCTATCAGCTTCGCAAGAGGACTGTGTCAGCGTTTACACGCCGAAAGAAGGAGTTGGAGAACAGAATTGTGGACGGAGAGCCGTCAGATAAGCGAGAGCGGCCATGCCTGAACAAGCCCTGAATACTGATATGTTTACGGTTCCACGAAACAGGCATTCAATAAAGGAAGTCTTCCTCACCAAACCATGTTCTGACTTGCTCTCGTCACTGTGCTGCCCTCCCCCTGCCCTCCTCGTCTAGTTCCACGCTCCTTTCCTCTTTTAACTAATACCCGGCTATGGCGACGGTGCGCAGGCCAGGGGTGCCAGCGACGGCGGTGGCTGCGAGCCCGACGCCGATTGCAGACAGGATTCTGAAGGGACGGTACTCCGAGCAGTCGCTAGAGACGAGCAGGAAGACGCGAACGGTGAGCCCGAAGACGAGCCAGCGGCTGGAGCCCAAAAAGGAGAGTGGGTGGTCAGCGAGCTCAGGCACTCACGGTGCGACTCCTCCGATCATCAACATCTCCGTGCAAAGCAACCTGCTTCCTTCCAACACCTCTCTCGCCACATCCCTCCCCGCCCCAGAACCAGACGCTGCCCTCGCCGACGAGCTTGACTATATCACCGTCACTGCTCCCCAGAGTTCCAGCCCCAACGCTCTTTCCACCCTCCGCCCAGACAAGGCCTCCAGAATTCTCGGTATCAAGCACCGCAAGAGTATGGAGCCCATACCCGCCTCTGCTCGCAATTCTATTGTGTCCACTCGTTCACTTCGCGATCCCCCCATGGTCTCACATGTCCCTACTCTACCCCTCACCTCACTCTATGTCGTATCCGGTCTACCAAAGTCTCCCCATACATGGACGCTCGCTGACCCAGACTCAATCCTTGGCCTGCACCACAGCGACAGTGCCGTCAACCGCTGGTGGAGACCAGAAGTGCTTGGGAGCACCGTCAGTCCTGGAGCTGGAGGCGGGAAGAAGAAGAAGCGAGGTAAAAATGAGGAAGTTATGAAGGGTGCAGGTGCTCTCAGTAAACAGGAGGTTGGCAAAATGCTTTCTAAAGCTCTCAAAGTACGTTGCTTATTCCTGGACACACACGCTCACCTCACTCGCTTATCCTAGCTCTCGTTTACTCGTGAAGTCGAGGTTATTGCTTCAACATTGCAACCGGCCTCTACCATTCACACTTTCACTTTCACTCTGCCTGCTCCTAATACCCCACTTGCACCCACGCCGTCAGGAGACCTACTTCGTGCTTCCGTTCTTTCTAATGCAGATAATCGTTCTTCTGCTGCTACTTTTTCTTACCCCTATACCGACGACCCCTTCGCCCGCCCATCCTCTGCCTACTTGGGCCCCCCAAGCCTTCTCGGGCATGGCGCCCACACCAACCCTGCAGGAGTATCTGGTCCCAATGCTAGCGACGTACCCCAATCAGCAACCAATACCGTTACGTACCATGGAGTATGCCTGACTGTGTGGTCCCATGCCGACGCTGAGCGCAGCAGCGCTATCAGACGCACTTTGGAAGCCGGGAGATCTCGTAAAGAGTCAGCCCAGTCGGCGGTTACTGCCAGGTTGAAGAACCTCCGAGCGGACGCGTCTGGATCTGTGAGTGACACCCAGGACCCCACCGCACAAGCGCGACGCAATGCTAAGAGGAGTTCCCGTGGTCCTTGGGGCGACGCTGAGACCGACGGCGAAACCGAGGCCGACGGTGCCATGAGTGAAAGCGACTTTGAAGTCGCAAGCACTGTTGGCCACGGGCCCGGAGAGAGCACTCTATTCCTACCTGGCGACACCGTCTTTTGGCTCCCGTATGCCCTGAGTAAGTCGCCCATCCATCAGGAAATCCTATTCACTGACTCGCCTCTTGTAGCTCTTGTCTCGCGTCATCCCGTGTACGACTTGATGAGGGACTACCTTACGCTTTCTTGGGCGCGGTTCTCTAAAGATGTCCAGTCTCACACCCTGCAGATTTCTAAGATTCTTGCACACCCGGCGCCTCGTGCTGGAGACCTCATCAAACTAGATGCCAGCCCAAAGAACGATGGCAGCGATTCCAACCTCGAAGTTATTGCTCGCTTCCCAGGCGGTCTCGATTTTGGCCGTGGTCTTGTTGATATTAACTTCACGATGTGGCCACTCTTCAAGTGCTTGAACATCGACAATATACTGACTATCTGCGAGGTTTGTCAGCCACTCAATATTGGCACGTACCATGCTAAGGAGCACGAACAGGTTGCCCTCGCACCAACAGGGAGAGTTCTCTTCTTCTCTCGGTATCCTGCGATGCTTGGGGTCAGTCATCTCAACGTGTTCTGTGTCATGGTTCAATTTGGTCCTGATATGCTACTCAGATTGCTGTCTCAACCGTCAAATATCTTGTAGAATTGCGAGGCTGGAACGGTATTGCCCTTCCTGCCGTCCATTCTAGGGATGCTAAGATTTATATCGACGACCCTGGCCCGTGGATCATGGGGCTTGCCACTGAGGCTAGATATAGTGTCAGGCCCTCACCCGAGGTTTGCATTTGTGATCTGTGAGTCTTACTCAACATTGTATAAACTAGAGATACCAATGACACTTCTTTTCAGGGATATAAATTACTTGTGCGTCAAGGGCAGCGTTGTCGTCAGTCCTCTTTGTTCTGATTCGACTCTAGGAGTTGCCCATCGCCACCCCCCAATGTCATTTCCTCAAAACAGCAGCGTGACAAGTACAGGCAGAGGCTCCTGGCCGCCTTTGAGTCTTACTATCACCCTGATCACTCTGTTCCAGCGTATGTTCATTCTTCTCTGTGCTTATTCATGTATCATAACATTTTATCAGTGAATTCAAAGAAGCCTTCCCCGCTGGAAGGTTCCGACCCGTTTGCAAAATACAAGCCAAACGCGGAGCTTCTTCGGCTGCTGTTGCCGACCAGATCAAACCTCCGGAATGGTGGCACTCAACCCGCATTATTCAGGCATTCGACAGTGTTCTTGCCGATAAGGTGAGGGCAGATATTTCGCTCGCTTTGTTATTTATGTCCTCAATGCCTTGCATGTAGTTCAAGAAGCCTTCTCTCCTCAAGAGAATTAGCCTGTTCGGCACTCCAAAGCGTCCTCCTCAGCTGACGGCAGCTGAGCAATTGATCCAACTTTCTATTCGCAAACGGGCCACAGCATTTGTGGATGCGCGGGACGACCTTGAGACCAAGATTGGCCGTCTATCTCGCCGCCTCAATTTCCTCATGACTGAGTCTGACCTGTGGCGCGATAAATTCGTCACTTTTGAGCAATATGCCGAGAAATTGAGCGCGGAGGCTAACCAGTTGAGGACCAAAATCAACAAGGAACAACGAGAGACCAAGCGGCTTTCTGGTCTTGTTACTCTCACCGCTGTCGAGAAAACCAAACTCCAGACTCGTGAGTTTGTAATCATTGTGCAAGTATAGGACTTTTTCTAACCTCACCTTCGCAGAACTGCGAGACACGGAATTTGCACACAAGGAGGCAATGCTCGAGTTGGAGAGGATGAGGGAAACGATGGAGAGGATGGAGCAGGAGCGCGCTGAAATGGTTGCTGAAGTTGAAGCGCAGATCGAAAGAGCCTTGGCTTCGATGACGGTTGGAATTGACGACTCCGACTATGGCAGCTCTCGACCGCAAAGCCGTCTATCCAATGCCTCAGGATCTCTATCCAGGAGGCCAAGCGACGCAGCCAAGTCTCGGCACTTACGCTCCTTTGGGACTGAATCCACTCTCGCTGAATCCTACGGCGAAGATATCGAAACCATAGAAGAGGACGACTCGGAGAAGCCAGTGCGAGAGACCGGAACCATCGTCGAGGATGACGAAGAGGAACAGCAAACGGCTACAAAGAAGAAGCGATTCTCAGCTTCAGAGATGGATGCCCCCCAAGACGGCATGAATGCGGTAGATGAGGGTATCAGTCAGAAGAGTGACAAGATCGCCCAAAAGGTTCTTGAAATTCAGCAAAAGGTTCGAGTTGACGACTCCCTTCGTCCTGTCCCATGGCTGATTTTCTCTTAGCTCGAATCGGCTCTTGCTTCAGACCGACGGTCGGCCAAGTGGAGAACCCATGCCTCTCAAGAAAGCGGTTCGGAAGACTTGTCTGAGGTCGGATCGACCCGATCGAGACCTTCTCGCGGCAGGCGCATACCTTCTGCGAAAGCCTCCTCGAAGCCAAGGACTAGGAGCGGCACAACATCTTCTACTCAGAACAACATGACAAATATACCCATTCAGTCGGAATTGCCCTCTCCCAAACTCAAGGGTGCTGCTGGTGCAGTGGAACCTGAGAGCAAAACTCCAACCCGTGACTCTTTTCTCGACGTTGATCGAGACGACCAAAGTACGCCTGAGCGAGCGGTCACAGCTGCTTCGGCTTCCGGTGCGGTCACGGCCGTTCAATCGGAAAAGTCTGCTTCACAGTCTTCCACGTCCGCTGTACCTCCCGGGCTAACTGATGACTCTGACACCGACTTCCAAAGCGCATATTCTGCCAGCCCACGAGCTAGCTATGGGAGCTTTGAAAGTGGTCAAGGCAAAGCAGGAGATGATGCTGTTGCATTACCTGGCAAGGAGAGTGTTGAAGATCGTCTGTCGGCTCTGCCCAAGACTCGGCGAGAACGAGTGTCCAGCACTGCAACCGAGAAAGCTGAGCCTCCTGCCAACCCGATCAATTCTGCCCCTCTCAAAGCTCGAGGCATTGCCCACCGCGGCTGAGTTTCTTTTTGTTATTTAGTATGGTTAGTGCACGCCAGTTTCTGAGATACCATTTCTTTGTTCTAATTATACATATCCTGCGCAGTTCGCATCTATAGTAATTCTACATCTTTTGAATTTATGTGTCCATTCTCCGCCGTGCATTGAAGGATTTTACAACAGAGGCCACCTGGTTGAAGAACCAGGATTGTGATGCTTTATCCGGAATGAAGGCAAACTTGTCATGCTCCCTGCCTGCTTTGCTTGCAAACCGTATGCCTGTGTCTTCGACAGTAACTCCTTGAATCTGAGTGAATGGCAATTCCCACTCTAGACGCAGCCTTTTGGACCAGAAGGAAAGCATCCGAGAAGCTGTCAGAAGGATTACATTGTCTGCTCCTGGAGAATCTGGTTCTAGACGTTCAACCAAGGCAACTGAAGCAAGCGACCAAGAACTCACTGATGTGGGCAACGTAGTGTTCTTGCCGATACTCGCCATTACTAAGGTCTTTCATCCATGACTGCCCGAGTGCTTCACGAGAGCTGTATGGCTAGAAAAAGAAAGATATTTTCAAAAGACTGGATTTCAAGAACTTGGACTCAAGCCACGAACACGCAAAACACCGTCTGATGCAATAAGCCGGGGCTGTTGAGGCAGTCGATTAGATGTCCGTGAACGCAAATCCTCAAAACGGAATTACCAGGCGGATGCGATCCCTTTCGGGATTGTCAAACACAGTTGTAGTGTTCCGAATGCCTGAAGACCTGAGAAATTTCAGAAAAAGAATTGTACTGAAGCTTTACCTTCAGTAACATTGGATGCCAGATCAAATACCCCAACAACAGGTTTGGTGACGGCCCTACGGTGGACTTAGTTATAGATTAAAATTGAATTGAAGATACTCACCCGACCAATCCCTTTCCTACACCCTTAAAAAAGCCGAGAGCGCCTTCAGCCTCTGCGCCTTCGATAGGTTTCATCTATATTGGACGGTCAGCTGCCTTATCTCAACCTCGACAAGGTAATCTTACGAAGACCCCTTCCATAGCGCTTGTTACGCTGCTTGCCAGCGCCTCTCCACCCGCAGCAACTCCATAACTGAACACAATGGTCGTTAGCTAATAGATCAGCAATTGATGCGAAAGAATAACAAACATTGCATGACGAGGCTTGTTGCGCCGTTGCGTCATCCGCCTACGAGCCTGATATTCGGAATCAAAGGTCGCAGCTGATAAACCTAATGTGGACAAGGAAACGATCAAGAGTCTCGTAAGTGCACAGAATAGAATCCTACCTTTACCAACACTGCTGGTGAATTTAGTGAGACTGTCGCTGACGCCGAACACGGTCTTTTTCACGAAGCTTGCAGCTCCCTAATCACCTTGAGAAGAGGGAAATAATAATTTAAAACTACGGCGCACTTTAGCAATGCCGATCCCTAGTTCTTTGTTTCCATGCATCACAACGCCTTGGAATGGTTCGTAGAAGATGTCGGCAACCCCAGAGCTAACATTGGAGAAAAGGCCCACAGGATTTCCGATGAAATCCGCAGAGCCGAGGATTCGGTAGAGTTGCCTCAATACCTCCTGTCTGTAGTGGTAAGTGATCCGGCTTTGCAACTCGGGCATTGTCAGTCGCATGTCCTTGATCGCTAGGGCATTCATCTCCAGAGGTGCATCGTTGATATTTCCGACTGTCATGGTCAAAGCATTTACCACCAGTGCTAAAGGATTCCGAATACTCAATCTATCAGGAAGAAAAAATGAGGTCCACATTCAAAACAAGTCGAAGTCTCACTCACTTCTCGTCGCTGTTCACTCGTTCGGTTCGCATAAACGACAGGGACAGCTTGATGGGCTGCAGCTCTAGCACCTCGAAATATAGCTCCTGACCTATAGAGTGATCACTAGGCTCTGGTATATCGTCGGGATGTTGTATCAGCACACTGTATGAGAGCATGAGGAAATGCAATGCGTCTTAAAGAAACAGAACAATTACTCCGCGACGCCAGCTTCCCACGAAGCGCCTTTGATCTTTGTGAGATCGTAAATGGCAAAGAGGAGGTCTTCATCAGCCTCAACTGTAAGGGCTTGAAGGAGAACAGAGCAATATTTGATGAAGAGCACTCCATGTTCTGGTCGAATGAAAATCAGCCAAAGAAGCACAATCCGAACAGTTTGCCCACTCGCCTTGATCCTTTAGCCATATGACGGACGCCTGAACTGTAGGCAGAGCTCCAACGGCCGAAGATTCTTTGGCGATGGGAGTTGGCTGAAGAACGACAGGATAGATCGCTTCGTGGAGCTGATTGTCGATTTGCAAGGTGCCACAGGATAGATTCAAAGATTGAGCAACCGTGCTGTCGGTGTATTCGAACTTGATGCCGCGCATCACCAGATATATGACTTCAACCATTCGTTTGTTGATCAGGGAAATCCCGACACCTGCCAGATCCACCACAACGGCGAAGGTTGGCTTAACCTCTGTCGCCACCGCCTCGAAGGCTTCCGTGGAACTTGATATGGTGTCCTGCCTCGAAACTGACACAGAATTGCTCCTTTGACGAGGCTTGTATGCGCTGCGCTCTGGATTGTAATTGGTGATACGGAGTACTTGCTTCTGGCCATCAGCACGGACATCTAAAGAAATTGCCCTGCTTCTTTGCTTATCCTAGACGCGAATATAAGGTTGTGTATTGGGTGGCAGAAAACAACACTTACGGTGAATTTAAATGGGACTAGGTCTCCTATTTCCATGATGTCGATCGCACGTCGTGCCGATCCAATACTGAGTAATATTTTCTTGTCCCTCGCAGCAGGATAGTCCCATACATAACCTATCGCTGAATGGGGTTGCATGGAGTATTTCGCGGGTGCATCTCGAGAAATGTTATCATGACCAGCGTCCTTCGGTTTCCCGGTAGTTGTTAGGTGATTCGGAGATGAATCTTTGCATAAATACTCACCTGTTGGTGGAAGCTCAGGTTATAATCGCTCCAATTTTCAATCATGAAAGGAAATCCCGCCGGCGCAGGTCCAATGAATATGAATATCGTGGATCCCTCGATTCGTATATCCGCTTTCACTAGTCCTTGCTCTCTAGTCTCAACTGGATGACGAAGGTTGAAGTACACCGACCCAATGTCCTCAATGTTGATTGCGGACGACCTGGCAAGGGATTTGAGACAACAATTACAATTGGGTGCGAATCTGTTTCTTACCATCTAGCGTTTAATCCGGGATAGGCGATCGTCAGGAGTTTCTCCTCTGCGTTCCGCAGAGCTTGGAAATAACATTGTTGGCCAGGTTCAACAAGGGAGCGATCTCTCGCGGTTGCCCCGTGTTCTCGGAAGACGATGGCCTCTGGGAGTTGATTCTTGATAATGAAACGAGGAGCGAGGGTGATTACTTTGGACAGCTTGTATTTTCCCAGCCCTTCCGCCCAGGAGAGGCCAATATGAAATTCGTCGGCCTTTTGCCTTTGGGAAGCAACAACTAGCTCTGTTTCAGCAGCAGGGGCTTCAAAGGATACCAACTGAAACAAAGAAACGTTGAGAACAGTCTTTTCCTTTGGCTTTCGCTTTCGAAAAGAACCATACCTTCGACCACCCTGAATCCGCGATTTTGAACATAAATTCGTGGCCTTGTTTCTGAGAATGGGACAACACTATTTGGGAACCGAATTGCTCAGAGTTAGGCTACTATGGTAAACGAAAAAGCAACTAACAAAATGGAGTAGGTGTAATCAATTCATCTGTTTTCGTATAGGCATTTAGGTTCGGGCGCCACAAAAAAGGACGAATACGGACCTATCTGAGTGGTGCCAGCGACATCTTGAGAACCGGCGCGAGTGGATCTAACAGACTTGATGGCAAAGGGGAGGCCGGTCTTATTCACGACGACATATGGGCTATATATCTGTACTTTGAAAGCACCACCTGATTCTGGATGGCGTCTGTGCCGTGCCGATGAGCAATTTAGCTTTAGCAATCGACGTGAGTAGTCCAACGACTTACATGTAATTCAGCATAAGGTCGAGTTTTCTTTCAGCCTGGTCGCGTAGAGTCAAAGTAGTCTCGATGTCGAAATCCGAATGCCCATCCGTATGGATGATGGCAAACTCGCTTGCCTTGAAAGCTATATAGGTAATAAGAACACTGTTTTTTGTCTGAGTAAAGCCGTCACTGACCAGTATCTTGCAGATGAACGTTGAGGAGAATGAAATGGCCTAATTCAACAGAGTGAACAGGCATCACACCCCCTTTTCTTAAGTAGCTCCGCCAGTTTTGATCCGTGTTTTTGTCGTAAATGCGATATTCAAGATTGTAGGGCAGCATATTTTCGACTTCTAGAGGAGCACGGAGTTTGAGATTAATCTTGGGGTATTTCCTAGATGTAGATATCGATTCAACACAGTGCTGTCGTTGTTTGAGGACGTAAATACCTGGGTGCCGCTTCGTCGGAATCTGTCTGCACCCATGCTTGCAAGCGAAATGGTGCTTCCCTCGGGTCCGAATGGGGGCACTTAATTGTGAACCCTTTCCTCGACACCAAGTCTTCCCAACGAATTGGGGGGGACCATTTATATCCGAAACCCTCTGTCCATATGTCAGTCCTAGCCCCCCAGGGCAAAAAAGGGACCTACGATCAGGCTGAAGCCTAACCCTGTTCTTAGTTACAGCCTCGATTGGAAGAGAGAAAGACTGTCCCGGGACGATCTTCTCAAGAGAATAGACCGGATGTCCAGTGTCGTCGACCAACATCAACTCTAGCGGATATAGTGTGGCGTTTTCAACTTTGTAGGTAGATCGAATTGTTACGATCTTTGTGTTGTCAACGACGGTGACTTCGCAAAGTAGGCGACTTGGATATTTCTCGGTGCGGGGACGCAATGAATAAACAAATTCGCCTTCTCGATCAACCGGGATGCCACGCAATCGCTCCCAAGGGGTTTCAATGAATTGGATACCGATGTTATGTTGGCCAGAGGAGACATGCTAAAGGAATTCGGTAAATCGTTGTGCTAATAGCAAAAGGGGCTCACTTCGCGCATGGTCTTCCAGTCGTCGAATCTCCACTCAATGGCTTGGTCATGGAGGACTTTTACAGCATCGACATCTTTAGTGCTGGCGGCGCTATCAAGATCCGACCAGATAAATATGGGGGAACCCGTCTGATTTTTTATGCGATAAGGTGCATATGAGCCTCGCGCTTTCTGAAGGACCAGTTCTCCTTCCTGATTCCAAGTATTCAGAGTTGTTAGAGCCACTTCCACAAAAGTGGTGCTGATGTTGAGGTCAAGGCGTTCTCGCGCCGACAATGTGAGATCAAGACCCCCGGTGGGGCCCTCTCGTGTAACCTTTTTGAATGTCAGCGTCATCTTAACAGCAAATTTGCCCCTGACGTACGGCAACAGTCAATGTCCATGGATCGATTACTGAAAGACGTCAGGGGGCAAGGAATTCGAGAAAGAAAACACACGCACGAGGCTCCCAGTGAGAATTAGTGAGGTTGAAATACGTAATGGCGGTGGTCATTGTGGTGGTCGCGTGTAACTGAGAAATTAAGGAACGCAACAAACAACGAGGGCAAACTTAGAACCTACTTCTCCAGACCAGTCTTTAGCCCCGAGGATGAAAGGCTTGACCTTGAGATGGAGCATGGGTTGTTCGTGGAGGTCGCCGATCAGCACCAGCCTAAACCCATCAAAGGATGCTCTCATCTGGGAGGGTCACATGAATCCCTTAACAGTCAGAGAGATGTTAACACTCACCTGCTCTTTCGACATCAGGACACGAGCCTTCCCGATCGTTGCGGGGGGTGCATGGGAATCCGACGAGGTCATTGGCTGGGGTGCAGAGGTGAGAGACGCATTGCGACTTGAGGTGTCCTCGTTAGGTGGGGTAGGTTGTTGCGATTTACCATACCGCTCGATAGCTTTGTTTGCAATAGACATGATAAGGTTGATGTCTCGATACGAGGCTCGGAAAACTATTGGCCTTGCAGAAATTTCCATGTTCGTCATTTGCTGCAAGGAAGAGGTTCGCCTATCCAGCGAGAAGGTGAGATCTACATCATCAAGAACGCGGACATTTTCTACGGTTCGTCCCATACTAATGAGGGACATTCCTAGTCGGTTTACAGTGAGAGCTAGGATTCCCTAATGAATCGTTTTTAGAATACCGGGGAAAACGACAGTTGCTTCGACATACCTGCTGGGACAAAAGTATCTGATCAACATACAAACGAATGGCAAGCGATTCTGCATCGGTATCGTCTTCAAGGACACTGACAGAGACGTCATGCAAGTCGAGCCTGAAGTCCAAGCTTTGGCGATTCTGCACCTCAGGGGCTTCCTGAACAGCGACATGAGTCGGTGAACCCAACACCCTTTCACTGGCGGAGAAGGCACTCATGAAGAATTCAAGCAGGGAGACAATTGGATCAACAGCGAAGATTATTTTGGGAGAATCAACAGTTAGGACCGCCAAGGAAGATGGACATCGACCGCCAGACGTGGTGTACAAGAGCATAAACTGGTTCCTATTGTGTTGGGCAGCAGGTATAATTTCACGGAACTTGGTGTGTCCAGGTCTGGTATTGCTCATCGTGAACGATCGCAAGACGATCTGCACTTCCGCAGCACCGTCTGAAAGCAGCTTGTAGCGGAGAGTATTGTCATTCAGAGCAAACCTGGCGATACCATGTTCTTTGAGCTGTGGCTCTGACCTTGCGGAGCCATCGTACAGATGCAGTTTGACAGCGTTGATGGCTACCACAAGGTCAACATTCGCCCAGGCTCGCTGAGACGAAGACCGAAGCTCTGGTTCAAGATCGATATCGGAATGGCCTTTGTTCTCCTCCTCGACTTTGAGCGGCGGAGCGTATCGGCTGGTGATAGTTTCCTGAGTGTCCATTTCCGGAGCACCTGCAAACACTCGAAGTATTTCACTGGCCAACTTAACGAGGAGACTGTATTGGACCTGCGTAAGATGTAGCTTGACATCTGAAATCTTCACTGCAACCTATTTCGAGTTAATTTTGACGCAGAAGAAGCCGACGGTATTCTCACCTGAGTATCGGGATAATCGATGTCTTCTCTCCGGTCAATATTGCTCGTTTGAACTACATCCGCTGAAACGTCTATGTCATCAATGATTTTCAGCGTAGATACCCCGCCGTTGTGACGAAGGCTGGACACCAGTTGGATTCCACGAAGACTTGCAAAAATTCGGTTGACGACAGACTCGGATTTGTTTCGGGCTTCAATTTGACCAAGTCGCAACACAAGAATATCAGCAGAAGAGGCGGGATCCGAAGGGAATATCACAATGGGCGTCTTGATGAATACTTCAAACTCCATTCTCTCGATTTCAGCAGCCCTTTGGACAGCAACTTGGGTGGCAGCATCATAAAGACCTTTCAGCTTGGCGAGTTTGAGAATAAACATGTAGAGCTCATGGAGAGGCCTTTCCATGAGATGGAACTTGATGGATGCAGCGTTGAGGAGAACAGACGATTTCACTCCGGTATGATTGTCATCTTCTGCGTCAAACGTTTGATAGTTGAAATCCGCGAAGTTTTGGCCGTCGATGGACATGAGTTGATTAAAGTCATCGGTAATAGCAATGCCTTGGATCTCGTTTATCAGCGCCAGACTACCCAAGCGGCCAGCGACTCGCAGCGTCTTGGGGCGAACGACTACAGTTAAATCAGCAGTTGAGAGAGAAAGGGTCGCAAGAGTCACGGCTTCATTCATTAATACGACTGCAGACGGCTTTGGTTCAATGGAACGGGAGGGACTTGAAAAGTAGGGCACTTACTTCGCACCCCTTCAAGCTTCAGGATCACGCGAATTTTGCTCTCGATGGCCGATTGCAATGCATTATTAATGTCAGGAGTTTCCACCGTTCCCACCCCTGGTATTGTTGAGTCAGCTTGTCTTGTATTCGGAACAAACGTTGTCATGATAAAGTCATAGAGCGCCAGAACAGGCTCAGGTGAAGCACAAAACACCAGTGTCGACATTCTTATATCGACATTCTGATCAACGCCTTCATGCGCTGTCGTGAACTCCGGGGATTCCCGTTGGACTCGTGTATAAGCAATTTTTAGAAGCTCCTGACCGTCGGAAGAATCCAACTCTGGGGTGGATACGAAGTGGATGTCACTCTCGCCTGGCTGGACCAATGTCATCGAGACGGAGCTGGAAGTCCGTTAAGTAAATGAGAGGATAGCAACGAAGGCAAATTACCTCAGATCAATATCCACATTCATGTCGTATTTCGCGAGAGCAAAAGACAGCAAAAAGCTCTTTAGATGTAAATTGCCCAGGAGCCGGTCAGTGCCATCCTTGGCCGATTTTGATATCACAACGCTCAACCTGTCGACTTTGAAATCAAGTTCAAATATGTGTTGCCGGAGTTCAGGATGCTGCTTGAACAACTTGAGACAAGGCGTTTGGTTTAGCAATAGGCTTCGCACCTCTTCCGATGATCCTTCCTCTGCCTCGAAAAACTGATCTTCCGTCGGATCTGTAAGTGCACCACCTTTTCGATCATTCTGGCCTTGTTTCTCGTCCTCGTCGACGAAGTATTCTGTCTCCGTTTGCCTGAACAGTGAAGTGGGAAGCTGAAACCTTCCCGAAGGAGGCGCAAGTGCTTGTCGAGTCTGTTGCACGCTGTCATCGTTCCCAAAGTTGGGGATACATACGTCAATGAGGCGTATTAATGCCTTGTACTTGGTGTCCGAAATATTGACTTGAAGCGAAGGCAGATTGCCTGAGATCTTGAATTGGGTTAAGTTCAGAGCCGTTGGGACAATCGATTTATCTATTCGAAGGTCGACATTAATCCTTTCGAGAAGATGCAAGGAGTCGCCTGATTTAGAAGCAAGCGCCTCCCGGCAGGATTGCAGATTGTCTCCGATGATAAACTAGGCTTATGCTTAGCTATCGCATTGAATTGGGAGGATAGAAAAGAACGGACTTGGGCGTCTTCTAGCCTCAGTGACATCTTGTCGTACATCAACGCCTCTAAATTCCTATAATCCTCTTCGGTGTACTTTTGATTGCGTTTCTGGTGTATAGTGCGTATCGCTTCCTTGGACACAAGATCACTCTCGATAGCAATGTGGCCGGCATCGACAATGAGGTGTTTGCAGTGATTCGTCGTCACACTAGAGGGATACAATTGAATATACCATGGAGACGGACCACATAATTTTCCACATACTCCTCAGGGATGATGATAATGGGCGCATTCATGTCCATCTGAATGTCGATCGTTTTGTGTGTTTGAAGTGCATATTCTAGTCCAGCTCTCGTCTCCCTTCTCAGTCCTTCTAGCGTTTGACTGGCGACATTCTGGTTTAAGCGCATGAATGGCATATGGAAAGAAAGAAAGAAAGAATAAGAAACAAACCAAAAGGGCTTCCACTGATTCAAGTTGACTGGCAGGTGGCTTGAAGAACCTGTAAATGGCTTCGACATAACCTTTATGATAGATAATCTCCATGTGTCGCATCCGGACGGTCAAAGCGCTATCCGAACGCTCATCCAACGGTTTGTTCTCGAACTGGACGAAAAAGAAGGGGTTTGACTCTTCTTCTTGTGCGGCAATAGAGCGTCTGCTGTCGCCGATTTCATCTGTCTTGACGTGGACAATCTGAGGATATAGCGTATTTCGTGTCGATCCATCAAACACTCTAAAGCCATTGAGGGATATCGAAGTTTCGAAGTTGTCGGGACGCTGCGTGAAGTGCGCTGCGAAAACGTCAAAAACAATTGATGTCACTTCGGTGTTCGTGCCATGAGGATCCGTCTTCAGGGTAAAAGACCCTTTGTCGAGTTTGGCGCTTGCTCGCATCTTCAACGAGTCGCGCGGGACTTGTAACGCATCTGCCAGAGCAGCCTTCTCGTCGTAGTCCAACACATCATATAGTTGCTTTCTCTGCTCGTCGGTCATGGGCCCTCCAAAAGTAGGGTCCTCCGGAGTAGCCGTGGAAGTCGATCCCCATAGCCATCCAACCCAGCCTTGTTTCTGAGGTTGCTGCTGTTGCTTTTCCGCCTCTAGCTTCTGTCGAAGAGCTATGTCTTTCTTCAGCTTCGATCGTGCGATAGAACGATAGAACCTGATGTCTTCGTACACCAGCTTCTTCTCTAAGCGTTCAAAGTCTTGAAGATCCTAGCGAATGGCCGTCAACGAATATCAACTAGATATTTTTATTTCCTTACCGGCCCTACTAAGGACGACAGTTGCTTCTTCTGAAACAGTCCAACGTACGCAACCCGGTCGTCACGCCGTTCCGCGAAGTATTTCCAGGTCCATTTCCTGTTCTTCTCTCGGACGCCTTCAAGAATGGCCTTCCCTGCATATTGAAGGCGGGCCTTGGCCGAATTCGTGCTAAATTCAATATCCGATGGTCGATATTTCCCGTACTGCAGAGGTAGCGAGGGATCAACAACAGAAGGACCATGACCGTGAAATAATTCCTACCTGTCGCTTGCGCAAATACACATGATACATATCCACCAAGGAGATTGCGTCACGATACTGATTATCGTCGAGTACAACTCCAATTTCCTCGAATAGGAGTTGGACGTCGAACCGCGGCGTTTCACGGTCTATTTTGTGGTTGACCGTTATCTGGAACTGAGTTGGAGCAAGCACGGTGTGTTTTTTTAAAAAGAGGCTTACTCTGCCTTCTCCCGAAACGGGTTTCAGAATGTACTGGTGTTGGCCATCGTCATCGCTGTGAGAAATCTTATCGTTGAATGAGTATTCTGTTACATGGATCTTTATCGAAGGATGCTTACCATCGCCGAGAACCTTTTTATCGATTCAGCTGTCGGAAGGCCCGCCATACTTGTCGCATCTGTGTCAAAATATAGGGCCAGAGATTGAAGTTTTGCTAGCTGTGGGTCGATGGGTCAAAGGAAGAATAGAAGTCCTAACTTTGGCCAAGCACCTTATATATGGCACCTGCCGTGCTTTCTATGAACGCTGGCTCCCAATTTTTGTTGACAGACACGGCGGTAAACCCTGCCAGAGTAACACCGGCGGCAAATGGGTGCTTGATGCAAATGAGAAGTTAATGACAATCTCCTTTCATAAAGGATGAGTAAATCACCCCTGAGACACTCATGTTATCTTCATATCGTATATGAATATTTTTGATCGTTACTTGTACATTGTTGATAATTTTAGTAATGAGAGATTGAAGGAGACCCTGCGTCTGCGGCGAGTCAGCTAGAAACAAGTCAAGATGATATGGATTGATGAGAGAGGAAGCACTCAACTCGTTTGAGCCTCTGCTTGACCGCGGACATGTAACAGCTCCGCATTTTCCAGACGTTCTGCCTTCGCAGCCTGCGCCCTTGCTTCGTCTTCTTCAGGATTCGTGCTGGTCTGGGGTGATGGAACCACGAGAAGGTACACATCTTCGACAAGGATTTCAACAGGCTGATTACCCAAGTTCATCCAGTGGAGAGACAACGTGAATTTTCCGAGATGGCCTAGGATGGGGGATCAGCGGGCGGATCGAGTCAACTATCTTCGCGATGAGCACCTTCCAATACATCAACCGGGAGTTGAAATTTATCTAACGCCCCTTTCTTCAGCTTAAGGTTGCGGAGTGTAAGTTGACCTGGTTCCATTTTAAATGAATGGGATTCAAGCGAGAGGGCGAGAGCGTGAACAGCGAATATTTATACCTTGTCCTATTCCATAGTTGACTTGATTCAAGTCAAGATTCATCACATACGGCGCGAGTATGCGGTTGAAGAGCTGACATATAAATCAGAGGCATAAGCAAAACACGGTGAGTTAATTACTCACCACACCCAAAACCTCTTTGCCAGGATCTAACCACCACATCCTTGCGATGCCGGATGTTTACTTTCAGGTCCTGGTTTGCTGTGTGCAGAGCGCGATATGTTGTGGACTGAAGGTACGGAGTGAGAACTCTACAGTTCTGTCGTGGCACGATGATGCACGTTTGGTCGTATGATCGAAGAACTGGAGCAAGTTAGAATACACCACCATCGTAGGGCCGCTGCGAAGAGGGCAGAGCCCACGTCATGTTACATAATCAAGTCACTTTCTCACGCTTTCTTAGTCGAGCTTGGCCGTGTTGAACTTCGAACTTCGTTCGCATCGTGAGTGTCATGAGAGGTCTGCAGTCTTGCGTCGAGGTCGCTACCTATTATCTTTCACATCCTCTGTATAAAGCACGACGACCTACAAAATCCTGCAAATGCCCTAGTAGCACCTTCTGAGCCTCCGATGCCGACGTCCTGGTGCGCCTTCTTTTCTGATACTTAACCATCCAGGCCCACGCAGATCGCGAGGTTGATGAGCGTTAAGCATTGATTTGTGATATGACCCGATCTGCCAGTACTTCCTCAATTCCTCGACGGTGGAGCGTTATTCCGGACCCGCACCCCAGGCACGATTTTTTCGACCACTCAAATTTCACCTAGCACAGTGTACGCCTCTTCAGATGGACGGACTTTGCCTTCTTAATGTGGGCGTGAAGGAAGTTCTCGTAGGTCCTCATGTGGCGCGCCTTCACCTAAAGGCTAAATTTACGCAAGCATATCAGATCATATCGCGTTCGCGGCGTTGACTTGTAACCGTGATGCCACGATTCCACTGCTAGTACTTACATTGCTACAGCCCTCGGGGGAATTCGAATCTGTGCACTTGTTCTCCGGAGCTTTCGACCAAATTTATCTTGATGTATAATTGTACATACTTGAGTCTTATGCCACTCACGGCTTGCACGGAACCCATCAAAGTGATCACCTGGCACCATTTGCAAACTTTGGGAGATGCTGAGGTCTCTCTCGCCAAGTCGAGACCCTTCTTGCAGGTCCACCGCCTTATATTTGCTCCAGGTTTGAACTGCACAGGTCCAATTCCAAGCCGGAAGTTTACGAGAATAGTTACTCTTCAGCAGCGTCGTCGGTCAAACATTCATTTCAAGACCCTCCCGAGAATCGAAGTCATTTCCGTAGCGTCCCGAACTCGTGGCAGGCCCCCCCCCAAAAAAAAGCGGCCCTTCAACTTGCTATATAACATGCGGAACAAATGGTCGTGTGCTTCCAAGATATCCCCCTACCATCTCCCCATCTCCCCACCTCACAACTTGTAAATCCAGTCATGCTCTCCATCTACCCCCAACCCACTGCTCTCCCCTCGAAGGACACCTCGCACCTTCAGTTGGAGGTCAACGAGGTAATGAGCCACCCGTCCTTTATCCATCGATGACTGAGTGTCCTTTAATTCACGCAACAATAGCTCGGTAATCTCAATGACGCGGTTCAATCATTTACAACGTGAGTTTCTCTTGTAGTTTAAGCAAATTTCCTCTGAAGTTGCCCTCCACACCTGTTTAGCCGCACTGTCCACACAGGAACATCTGCTGTTCGTTTGCATTGCACCATTCCGACCTGGAGCGCCTCAACTGACACATGTGAGTACCTTGTACGATTGTAAAGACCTTCTCGTAGATCGCCCATCCTTAGGTCTGGATTTGCATGATCTTCAAGAAGTAAAAGCGAGGTTCCTGCATTTTATTCATGATTTACTACAATCGCTTCGGTCAGCTGGGGTCAGTTTCCATGTTTTGGACATTTCTGTTGACTGAAAAAATAACGACCTTCCCTTGTAATAGGTGTCTGCGTCGTACTCCCTGGCTCCTTCCAGTTCCCCTCTATGCCTCGTGAGTCAACGACCAATCGACACCGAGGTGCTTCAAAAGGTTGGTCAATGCAGCAATCAATTCAAACGGTATTTATCCCGGTGCTTCTCTTTTTGTCCGCTCTCAATGCCATCACAGAAAACAAGTTACTTTGATTGACCTCGAAGATGCACCATGCCTGGTCATCACGTAGAGGGATACCGCCATCTCAGTTATCTTTTCGGACGCACGGACAACGTATACTTAAGTAGTACTATGTCGCAACTTGCTCGGTGATTTTGTGAAAACCTTTTGTATTATCTGGCTTTGTAAACCAAGTATGATATGATATGATATGATATTACACCGCGTGGACCCACTCGGGATCTGCGGGGCATGGAGGAATATACCAAGGAAGTTACTCGAAAAAAGGTAAATACAAGCCTTGAATGGGATTCTCCTCAGGATCTAAATCGATGCCACTGTCGTCGCTGTCGTCACTGACCTCCTCGAACGCGCTTGGATGATGTAGGTGTTGCCGTGATGTACTGGCAGGTTCCTGTGGGCCCCCCGTGTCAGTAACATCTGGCCTGCACTTGCCGGACCAGAATAAATAAATTGAGTGAACAAAGCGAGCCGTATGTAGTACGAAAATACTTTTTGGGGAAGCTATTATTAAATCGGGCCCCAGTCACTATTACGCAACCGGTCAACACCATGCGGCCGTGAAAAACACATGAATGCCGAAAGTGCGTGACATGACAGTGTCACGTCCCAGGGTGGTTCAAATTTTGTGCCATCAGCTTGCTCCTGACGCGCCGTTGGCTCTCTGTTCCTTCCTCATGGCTTCCCTCTCTGGCTTCCTCCTCGACAAAATACCTTATCGTCTCCCCCCTCATTTGTATTCCTATGTCAAGGGAGTCACCCCGCTGTCGACCGACATTTCTGTCCTCTCGTCGCTGTCTGCATACCTCGTCATCATCTTCTCCATTCGGTTCTTCATGAGGAATCGTCCGGCTCACAAACTCACTGCGCTTTTCCAAGCTCATAATGTTATCCTGAGCTCAGGCAGCCTTCTCCTCCTCTTGCTTATGCTGGAAGAAATTGTACCAATTATCTGGAACCATGGATTGCATCACGCTATGTGTCACGAAGCTGCTTGGACTCCCGTACGTCGCCTTTCGTTGACGTGTCTTGTGTTGCTTATCCGTTTGGAACAAATCAGAAGATGGAATTCTACTATATGATCAACTATTACTTCAAGTACCTCGAACTGTTGGATACCATCTTCCTCGCGCTCAAGAAGAAACCTCTCCGTAAGTCTCAGACTTGCGCTTAGGTTATATTTCTAAACCAGAGTAGAGTTCCTCCATGTCTTCCATCACTCGGCCACTGCTCTCCTTTGCTATACCCAGTTGAATGGCAAGACAAGCATTGTATGTGGACACTATCTGTTGTGCCGAGAGTCTAGCTCACAGATATGTTTAGTCATGGACCGTAATCACCCTCAATCTCACTGTTCACGTCATTATGTGTAAGGGAAGACACTGAACCGTCCGAGCTGCCATTGACGAAATATCTAGACTATTATTATTATGCGACCGCTGGTGGCAGAAGATTCTGGGTAGAGCTTATCGTTCTTAGACGTGGTGTCACACTAACCAGCGCCATTGCAGTGGAAGAAGTACTTGACGACCATGCAGATAGTGCAGTTCATCATCGATCTTTTCATTGTCTACTTCGGAAGTATGTCCTTTTCCTCTATATCTAGCCGAAGGTGTTCACTAACTGTCGTCAGCCTACGAGCGGATGGCCTTCAAGTATTATCCATCTCTCCCTTACATTTCCAACTGCGCTGGCTCCGAGCAAGCTGCTTTATTCGGCTGCGGGCTCCTGACCAGCTACCTGTTCCTCTTCATCAACTTCTACTTCCGCACCTATAAGAAGCCTGTGAAGAGCACTCCTTCGACTGGAGTTGGCAACGGCCACGTGAACGGGAACGGAAAAGCCAACGGAGTGGCCAACGGGTGAGTCTACATTATGTTGGGGTGATATCGTTATGGACTAAACCGAACGTAGGCACAAAAAGGACTGAGTCTTCTCCTCATAGAAACAAATAATTACGAACCAGACGCCCATATACCTCCGGAATATTACACCTGGTACTAATAGTAGACGTCTGTTGGATGGGCTTCAGCGTGCCAACAGGATAATTTCCAGATACATATACCCATGTCGGTACACTGGTCAAGCTGTAGATCATTACATTGTAGGATGTTCTCAATTGAGGTGGTTGCTGAGAGTTCGCTTGTCAAGGACTAGCATTCCTTATTTGAGACCATTGGGTGAAAAGCGGCCAAGTAATTGGTCGGGTGTTGATTTTCGGACAGGTAACACGGTAACCTGTAAGTAAGTAGTAAGCAACAAAGGCTGATAAAGATAAAGAGGTGCAAGCATTGCACAAGGCACCGCCACTTCCTTGCGACAACAGCCCCATTCAGACGGATGACTTTCTCAGGCAACACCTCCATTTGAGCGCCTGATTGCTCCAAGTCGGTAGATGCGATTTTGGTTGTCAAAGCCGACCATCAGGACACCCCCCCTCTAATCCATCGGTCCCTTCCCCGACCACCATGTCGAGCCCGTGGGATCGCTACGCAACAGCCTCTTCAGACGACTCCCGCGAATTCCTGGTTTCTGTCGAGCTGTATATCTCAAACGCGGCAGGCGCTACGCTACGCAAGGTGCGTGTTATCCTTGCCGGAAGAAACGAATTGCCGATGGCCTCTGCAGCCACTGGCGAAGAACAAGAAGTCGGAAAAGCGAGACTCCACCGGTGAGGATGCAAGGCTGAAAGGTGAGTCCCTGAAACTTGTTGAAGCTGGAATGACACCAATTCCCGTATTCTAGAGAAGGCCAGTTCCACCTGGTTGTCACTGCAGAGGGGTTTGAACGGAGCTGGACATTGGAGGTCTGCAACATGCAAACTGCTAGAGGAAGGAGAACGCTGCCTCTTGAATGTCTATGTTGACGTACGATCAATCTCATCAGCCCGCATGCTAAACCCAATTGTTTCTTTCAGGAGAGCATCTTGTATCAGACGGTCTACGTCCATCTCCTGAACCAAACCGATATCCGCCAGGCAGAGAATTCCCTCTTTTATAGAAAGGACTGTTTGGGCATATTCTGTATAGCGTGAGGATCTCAATCGTTGACCTCGCGGACACATCTGACTCGGATTCCAGAGGACAACGATGGACACCCTCGAACACAGCCGAACCTCTATACATTCAATTCGCCAATGCTGACACTTGTGCGACGTGGCAGGCTCTCCTCAAGTCCTATGCCATTCCAGAAATATATGGACGGTGGTTCTTTCCTCTCGATGGAGGCTCGTACCGCATGTGGCGGCAAGTGGAGCTTACAGTAATACAAGGGAGAAATTTAGGTGTCACAAAGCATGATTCGGGACCCTCCAACAACGGTGACCCCAATGATGGCGATGGTGGAGACGTCGACGTATCATGCGAGATCCATTTAAACGACATTCTGTGCAGTCGAACAACTATGAAGAGAGGTCTAGGCTCCCCAGATTGGCATGAATCTTTCAGCTTTCCAGGTCTGCCGCCCTTTGAAAATTTGGATGTCGTTGTTTGGAAAGAAAAGAAGCTTCACAAACCATCGATTCTCGGAACGACGCGCATTGCGTTGGGCAACTTTCGGAGGGGTGACACCGTTGAGGGATTTTTCCCGGTCATGCAGGCTGGGTCGATAGGGACTGAGGTTCAAGTCGGGGATCTTCGTCTCAAAATTCGCGTCGACGAGTACGTCTCTCTCCACTTGTTTCTTTGCCTTTTTTGACGCCCCAGGATAGGGAGATTATCCTACCCTATTCCTCGTATGCTGGTCTCTTAAAGGTAAGTTTTCCAATGGACGTCGAGCAATGCTCTCTAACTTCATATTAGACCTGTCATTCACGTAACTTCTTGGACTGGATGTCTGACTTGGAGAATCGACTTAAACTGAAGAATATCTCGACACATTTGATGGCCATTGCTGTGGCCAAAAACAATGTCATCGAGCAAGTGCAGAAATATGCCAGCCGAGAGGTTGACAACTCCTCAACATGTAAGTAATCATGCTCTGTGTTATGAACGATGTTCTGACGATGAAGAAGCCCATCAGACGTTATTTCGTGGGAATACCACTTTGACTAAGGTCATTGAGCTTTGCATGACATGGTATGGGAAAGCATTTCTGGAGGCCAGTATTGGCAACGTCCTACGGCGGCTTTGCGCAGAGAAGGTTGCCATTGAGGTTGATCCTGTCCGCAGCGGTAAAAGTACAAAGGACGTGGAACGGAATGTTGAACAACTCATATACTGGTGTCAAGAGTTTTGGAATCAGATCTACTCGGTGCGAGCGGAGTGCCCAAAGTGAGTCAATCACGAGGAACCCGTGAATGAAACTAACGCCTTCTTAGTGAGATGCGGATCCTCTTTCAGACTATCCGCAGACTCGTTGAACAACGGTATAATCGGCCTGACCCTACAGCGATAGACACCAACACCAACTTCCGCTGGCAAAGTGTATCTGCGTTTTGCTTCCTTCGATTCATCGTTCCAGCTATCCTCCATCCCCATCTATTCGGGCTTTGTCCAGGTTTGTGTATATGCCCTTGCTGGATTTATCGTTTCTAACTTCGGTTCAAGGCCTCCCTCCCCTTCCAGTGCAGCGGAGTCTTACGTTGATAGCCAAGGTCATTCAAAGTCTGGCTAATCTGAATGCTGTTGGTAATCTCTCTTAAATGTATTCCCATCACTCAATTACTGCGTCAGACCGTCCAGAAAGAAGCGTTCATGCGCGGGGTCCAAGAATTCCTCAAAAACAGCGTGCCCGCAATGATCGACTACATTGCTATTGTATCAACTCCAGTGGAAGAAAACCCACCTCCACATACCAGTGGTAACATGAACAGACATGATCGACTTAACGTTGTTAATGCTCTTCGGCAACGGACCAGCAAAATGACGGTGCTGGACCGAGAATCAGTGCCAATTCTTCCACACCTGCTCGACATCCCAAAACACCTAGCCATCATTACATCGGCGGTCATTCGCAGCTCGCGGGATCTAAGCGCCCGTCCTCGAACGGGAGATGATGTCGATTTAGCAGTGGACGAATTCTGCTCGAAATGCTTCGAGGTCGAAGAAGAAGCACTACGCCGCGTCAGTCAGCTGGCAACGAAACTTGCGTCAGAGAGCAGGCGCCCTTCGGTCCCTGATATTTCTGCGACTGGTACCGACCACCACCACGACAATATACCTCATTCGCCCCTTTCGACGATCACTAGTACAGTAATATCCGTGGCTGCTCCGCCCCGCAGACGGAAGTCGTCTCGTCCGTCGACTGCACCCTCCCCAGCTGGCTCTAACAGTCCAAGTCGGCGCCAGATGTTTTTCAATGATAGTCTCACAAGTCCTCAAACCTTCACCCGTACAATTCCAAACGAACAACGGGCCTGGGGCGGCCACATGAAGGCACCTTCCACGGACTCAGCCCCGTCTCCGATTAATCACGATATACCCATCCCCGTCCGCATACCACGAACAACGGAACCTCCTGATACAGACGATGCTGGTAAACGGAAGAAGGGCTTGCTAAGAGGTATCCTGAGACGATGATTCTGTGACTTAGGTATCTTACATATTATATTGTGCCCGGGTCTATATTCGGATTATAGTGCGATGCTGAATGTAGTCGTAATTTATTCATGAGGCTGTGTTGCTAGTAGTGGTTTCTGTATCAATTTCTGTACTGCAGCAGCGACTTCCTCTGAGGTGCTCCTCACAGTTAACCTGCAGAGCTGTCGAGGATGCAAGTCAGCAGCCGCAATGGTGTTCATCAAGACCACCTACCTTTGCTTCGCTATTGGGTTCTAACCTCACTAGACACCCGACTTTGCCTTCAAGTGACATATGGAGTACCCCCGCCGCCACGAGGTTGTTTGGATTCGGGTCTATGTCTTCCAATATATTCAACCGGTGACCCGAGACAACTTGTCGGTGTTTTGCCAAGTCGAGTTGACCAGTTGCATTGACACCTATGGGAAATATAGCTTGGGATTCCCGTTCGCCACCTATGAGTTTCCATCGCTCGAAAAAATCTGTTGGTCCGAGTTTAACGTGTTCAAAGAATTTTGTAAGAACGATGGGAAGGCGGATAGAAATAGCCTGATGGGAGCCTGCCAGGTATGAGACAGTTAGGATAGGTGGGGAATTGAACATCTTCTTGCATTCTACATGAAGAAGCTGCTGGGATTGATTACGTGCGCTGATGGTGCTTGGGGGTATCTTTGCAAACGAAACAGAAAGAGCATCTGGGTCGTCGACATGAAGCGCTGCAGTGAAAGAGGTAAGGGGTGCATCCACTTTGTTGCCCAGGTATATGGCTAATTGTCCTATGTGGCCTTGATAACGAGACTTGACGCCAACTTGAATTTGAACATCTTCATAGAGGACACCCTCGGCCGAGTACGTCAGTTTGTCAAACCAGCGTTCTATGTTCGGGCCAGATGTGACTCGAGGCGCCTTTTCAGAATTTGAGCGGGAATTAAGAAGAGGGAGAGCAGACGGTAGATTCGGCGAAGAGGCTATAGTAAGACCTGCTAAGGAAGTCATGATGTCGTCATTTGCTGTCGTTGGACCGGCGACAGTGTTATCATTGGCGGAGACGTCAACCATCAGGGTCTTGCGCTTCGTGATTTCCCTGTCCACGTTCGCCTCCTTGCCACCGTGTACCCAAGTTCGTTTGTCGCCTGTTGTGTCAGCGTGTCTGCGGTTAAGGCTGCCAAGCAAAGCGCTAACTCGAGGTGGGAACGGAGGCATCTCCTCGCAGATGTTCTGAAGAAATTCGTCATCATCTGGCCGCGAAGCCAGAGCAAAAAATTCGCATGCACGTTGCTGTAGTTCGGCGTCTAGTACGTGCCGATAACGGTCGAAGATGTTCAGTAATTGTGGCTTGATTTCAGGAAAGACATTGACCCATTTGATATACGTGGAGAGGAGCAGGGCGCGAGTAGCCGCAACGCAAAATTGTGATTTAGAATGCAGCAGTTGAAATTGTTCGATTGGACTATATCCTGGGTCATTTGCTATCAAGTGGCCGTATTCTCCGAGGATGTAGCCTAATGGAAATTTGTAATTAGAAAGCTATTGGTGCAATACTTGACTCACCTCCCACTTTCACAAGACTCTCGTGCGTCGATGGAGCTTTCAGATGCTCAAAAATAACCTTGGCCGCATACTCTTGTAAATCTTCGGTATTCGTGACTATCTGAACGACCCGATACCAGACTTCGTCCCCAACGTGTTCTCCCGCAGTGCTGATGAGTTGTAAGATCATGTCTACATACCACTTGTACGAGTTGGCATATTTTTCAGTGAGTATGGCGATTTTCAGCACCATTTCTTCCCTGAGTGCATAATCAGCAACCCGAAGATATCTGAGCAGTTCTCCGACGATAAGCTCCGAATTGTCCACATCACACATGCTATAAAGGAGGTCCAATGCACGACGTCTGACAGAGATGTCTTTATCGCGAAGAGATAAGATAATTGTATTTTGATGTTTCTTGATGGGTTCCAACGACTCCGCTCTCGCAGCCAAATGCGCCATAGTGTCCAAGCCCAAATATCGGACGTTGGTCTCTTTAGAAGAGATAAAACGGGCCAATAAGACGGCAGCGGTGCCAACAAGAGGGGAGTTAGTGTCCAAGTGAATCGCAAGACTGATTGCCTCGAACAAGACAGCATGCTGAGCATTATTGTGTTGGACATTGCGTGTGGGTTCTGCACAATTGTTCATAATGGCCTGGAGTACTTGATGAAGAATTGATCGTAAAGTTGGGTCCTCTGCGATTATTCAGCCGGATGACGCAGAGGAGAGGAGAACCAACTTTACCCGAAGGGGGGTAATATTGTAATAATCGAAGAAGCTTGACTTGTAGCCAAGGCGAAGGAACCTTGTAATATGCGTAGGTTGCAGAGTACTCATGCTCAATGACAAGCTATAGCCAGCGTTGGGAGAGACGTAGGGATTCGAATGGAGCGAACGGACATACGCGCTGTAATCGGTCCACGGCTTTCGTGTAGCAGACTGCGAAAGCATCTAGGTTCTCCTGTGCCAATGCCATGACCAAACTCGTAACACAAATTACAACACCCTTACACTTGCGTCAGGTGGTGTTCCGTCTGAAATGAGGGCAAGTCTCTTACCAAGTCGTTGTCGTCCATGATTGATACGATCCTAAGAGCCCACTCGGGTGCAGGGATAACCTCTGGATGCTTGCGATATAACCTGAGAAGTGTTAAGGCTGCCTTCTTCTTGACAAAGCTCTGTGACGTTCTGAAAGCCAGGTGAGACACAGGTTAGAGAAGAAATGAGTGGCCTTACGGGGAAATCAGTAAGCGATGAACGTCTTCAACAAGCGCCTCTGCCATTTCACTCCCTCCCACATTCGCAATAGCGTGAAGAGCAAGACAATTATCGACTTCATTATTGGAATCAAGATCCTTTCGTATTGAATTGACCACCAGGCGTAGAAAATCCGAGTTCTCGTGCATGAGCAGAGTGACCGCAAGATAACCCTTCGTAATTCAGGTGTAATGAATAGAATGTAGACGTATACAGCAACTCACAATCTGCTTCTCGCTATACTTGGAGCTCGAAATGAGGTTGACGGCCTCCATATGCCCAACATCGACTTTGTAACCCAGAATATATGTAAAGATGATTTTGGCGACATATCTGGTACGGAGGCTTAGAGAACCGCGCTCAAACACAGTAGATTTGCGAACTTTTTCTTTTGATATCCGTCCAAATTTCCGTCTGCCCAACCACTCGATTTCAGTCAATCAATCAGGCTTGAAGGTACAGGTAGCCCACCTTTGAACTTCTTGCGGATGTTAGCCATTTCCTTGTTGATCCTCTTCTCCTCTAGCTCCTTAACTCTGGCTCCACGGATATCCGCAATAAACTGATAGAGTTGTCAGGATTCAATATGGCGTTCGGGAGAGCGATCGCACCTGCGTGAGCCCCCGCATACTAGTCGCCATTTTGGAAGTGTGATAGTAAACGAAGAAGATGGGGTGTTTCCAAAGGTTACTTCAGGTATATAGGGAGCAGATAAATCGCTTGCAGGGCCCATAGAACGTGGTGAACAGATGTGAGGCGTTCATGGACAGGATATTATATAATATATGCCATTATATACGTGGATCACGTGGATATTTCTTGTACTATTTACCCCAAAATTATTATTATAGTAGTAGCTAGCTAATAAGTCGGCATAAGTAATCACAGTAGTTGCGTTTGACACTCTGAGTCTAGCAGCGTGCTGAAATTCCAGTCCAGGGTAAACGAAGGACCTAGATAGTTAAATAAACTACTCTTAGAATACTACATGAAAATATTAATGCGTGGATTTACATATTTACCTAATCTATAATTCGCATCCAACAGTGCGACAGCGTCTAAAATCTTCGCAAGCGGCTAGGGGTCCCGGGACGTGACTGGTAGTAGCTAGGGGTTGTATATCCCGATGCAGTCCCAGGCAGTCGTGAGACAGCTGAGAAAGGCGACCCCATGGGGGTCCCTGCTCTTGAGTTGTGCACAGATTGAGATACTAGACGTTCGTCGCTGTAGGAGTCCAAGAGATTCACGATGTCTGTAGTGACAACGTCTAGCTCTTTCACTTCTTCCCGTGACAAAGAGTAGTCTCGCATATCTTCGCCTTCATCTCCAGATTCTGATTCACCCTCCTCTTCCCTGGGTAGGATCGGTAAATGCTGACCTTTACGTTGGCGGCTCATTGTGATACCCTCGAAAACGCGGAGCATGCATGCCTCCATTGATTGCTTCAATCGTTGCACGTCGTCCAGTGTTCTGACATCGCCGACGATAGGAAGCCAGTTATCGCATTCTAGCCCACTTTCAACGACCTCTACGCTGTACGCACCAAACAGGATATAGGACAAAGGGTCCAGTCGCGTTGTGTTAACAAGGAAAGTTTGGCCACTACCCTGAGTATTGTTCTGTCGCTTCTCAGCAAATGCAAATAGCTGTTTCTCTGGAGTAGCATCTCCAGAGTTTCCATGTTTCCGATGGTTCACGCTTGACGGATGAATCAGAGCAAACTGGGGGCGAAGATCAGTGATAAGTGGGCAAGACTAAAAAGAGAACCATCGCACCTTGTCCCTGGATGTTCGATAACCGCTCTTCTCAGTTCCTTTGAGACGAATTGCGAACTTGGGCTGAGTCGCAATAGCAATCAATGCAGTCAATAGAGGGTACGAGTCTTTGTTGGCGTTCAACGCGGGAGGGACAACGAAGTTCCTTGCAAGTGCGTTCTTGTCGAAGGGGTTGTTAATTTCGCCCCCAGCTGAAACTTCGATAACACCTGCGCGGTAAAGTGCTTGCAGGAGATGCACTTTAACCTTCTGAATTAAGAGTAACGTGGGCTTAGACAAGAAATTTTCGTTGCAAAATCTGTTGGCGCTGATGTATTCGCCGCGGGACTGCATGGCCCACCAGGCGTTGTAGGCCCTGAGAACAGCGAGGGCATCAGATCTAAAACCCTCAGGACTCCAGGAATTCTTCCTCTGTGCAGCTTCCTCCCGGGCGTGCATTGGAGACATGAAGGGCTCGCGATTCGTCAATATGGCTGCCAGCGTCAATGCCTGGTCCAGGCACCTAAAGAAGCTGCCGTACAAAACCAGACGGCCCATTTGAACGTCCACAGGCAACTGCAGGAGTACTCTGCCCAACGAGGTCAGATTCTTCTCGGAGTCCAGAGCACCAACCATTTGCAAGTCTTTCATGGCAGCATCCACGCGAGCCGGATCCGGAGGCTCGATAGCGGCGGCGAGGACTTGCTCGACCGACATCCCAGGCATGTTCAGTGCCTTGACATGCATGACGACGTTGCTCAGATCAACGCGCTTCATCTCGACAGTCTGGTATGGTTGTAAAGCATCTGCGCGACTCTTACCGAGGATGCCATAGTACTCGCCAGGTCGATGTCGACCCGCGCGACCTGCACGTTGAAGGAGATTTGACGAACCTACCCATGCAGAGACGAGGGATGACATGTGACGCTCGGGGTCATACTTCTGCTCCTTGACTTTGGCTGTGTCGATGACATATACCACGTCAGGAATCGTGACCGAGGTTTCTGCAATGTTGGTCGCAAGAATAACTCTCCGTACACCTGCTGCCGGGGGTTCGAAGATTGCTTGCTGCTCGGCCAATGGGATGGAGGAGTGCAAGAGATGAAGGGAGTACTTATAGGAGTTAAAGTTGATGCCCAAAGGGCCGAGGGGCTGAAGAAGAGCGCGTTGGGTGGCGACAATTTCTTCCCACCCAGGAAGGAAAACTAAAACATGCCCATCCTGCGAGGACTGCAGGACATGGCTGATAGTAGCGGCGATGAACGGATATGGAAGTTCGAGGTCGGCAGTTGCAGACATTTCTTTGGGCTGACGAACGCCCAGCTTCGTGGCTGCAGTTGGGCCCAACTCTCTGGTAAGATACCGCGAGACGTTCTCTTGCTCGCCCACCCAGCGCATTGGACCGCTCAGCACTTTCGTCGCATAATCTTCCACGAACTGCTTTGTCACAGGGAATGAACGACCAGGAACGGCGATGGTCTTCGCTGGAGCACCTAAGTCATCTGGGAAATAAGTCTGGAAAAGGGTGGGATCGATAGTGGCGCTCATGAGGATAATCTTCAGCGTCTGGTTCTTCGCCTTCCTTTGTTCCCTCAGTTCCTTGAGCACGACCAAGAGCAAATCAGTGTCAACGTCGCGTTCATGCACCTCATCCACAACAATATGTGTAATGTTCTCGAACTCGCCACGTCCACGACTATCGTAACCAGATAGAACCGATTGCAGACGCTTCAGGAAAACACCAGTGGTACAAAAGGTAACGGAACCATCGGGTTCGGGAAGGTTGGCCTCGAAACGAACGTGGTATCCGATCGTCTTGCCCACTGGCTCGCCTCGTTCCTTGGCCACTCGGTCTGCAACACTGATCGCTGCTAACCGACGGGGCTGCGTGCAAACGATGTTGCACTTAGCACCCTCTCCACGGTCAATGTACTCGTCCAAAATCATTTGGGGGATTTGTGTTGTTTTTCCGGAGCCTGTGGTGGCCATGCATATTGTCACCTCGTTGTTGGAAATATGGTCGAGGACGTCCCTCGCCTTCGAGTAGACGGGGAGAGCCTTTCGTATCTCGCGCATTCGCTCCATCTTCGGATCGGCCAAGTACTGTTTCCTCCTCTCTAGCAACAGCTTCGATTTTGTTTCCAAGCTGGTGTGTTGCCGCCTTGCTCTAAAGCTGTTCATCTGTGCCCTTGGACCGGTCGGCAGAGGGGCATCTGGGGATGTAGAGGGGTCGATAGTGTTAACCGCATGTCGTGACGGCCGGTTCCTGTACAGACTGGTCTTGCGGATGTCCTCGCAGATGTCTCCTATGGTGTTTTCGAGGGCCGGACTGACGATGAACTCGACTCTCGGTGCCAAACCAAGATCCCGCCCCGTCCGCACGTCCTTCAGATACGTCTCCCATAATTCAGGATCACAGCTTTGGAGATACTTGGTGACATCCAAAAAACAGGCAATCTGAGCCTGCTTCTTGTTAGGTCCAGAGCCCATCCCGATCCTGCGGTCCCCGACAGTCATAATCGCATCCCAATGGCTCCCTCCTTTTCGTGAGTCGAAGTCGATATCTGGCTTACCAAACCCGAACTTGCGGCAGTAATAGTCCATGAAGCTGCGCGCCTTTTCGTAAGTGACCGTCGAGCCATCGTCTAATTGAACTTCGGTTACGGCCACAGGTTTTTCAGGTTGAAGACGTCTGGGATCGTCGAGCTAAGAGACATTGAGACCGAGTACGATCAAGCAACCAGAATGCTTACAACACGACGTTCATGGAGCTGGTAGAGAGCAGACAAGGCAGCTAAGTGTATTGATTGCTTCTTGTCGGCACTATCGCCGATTCCCAGCACTGGAGGTTCGATGTCGAGTTGCAAAGTCGTTCTGCAAGTAGTGCGTCCTGAACGAGTTGAAAGGAGGACAACAACGGAAGACATACCTCCAAATCTGCTCTTTACGATTTCCCTTCATGATAGTCCCTGATACCGAGACATAATCTGGTTGCTTGTTCTTGACTATCTGATAGAAGTTGTTGACGGGAACCTTGGGTGCCTCCTGATGAAGAGGCTTCAAATGGATAGACGACTTGTCGTATTCTTGAATGATATGCTCCTCGTCATGATACGGTCCTTCAAGAAGGTTCTTGAGTGGTGCCTGGGATGAGGCTGCTGGACGCCTTCCCCGCTTTGATGAGCGCAGAGAACTGGGTGTAGCGGCATGATGGGAGGAGCCTGCATCGGCACTACGGTGTTGGTTTCGTCGACTTGATGAAGCCATTGAACGGGATATGTCGTGCCTCGCGGTAGAAAAGGCGGAGGGTTGGCCAGAAGGATCGACAGCACGGGGAAGCTTGGCAGGAGGGGGCTCCGGGAAGGATGGAGAATGCGGCAAGGGCTGTGTTGCTGCTTGCTGGGAGAAGGAGCGTTTGATCCCGGGGCGTGCGTCGGTTCTGTCTTGAGAAGAAGAGGAAACGTTCCTTGACGCACGGTTGAATTGCATGGGGAGGCAGCGCCTGGGCTTGAGAAGGAAGGCAAGTCTCATAACCTGGCGTCCGCTTGTGTGTGGATGAGACTTGAGTTCGCGTTTCCACTGATGACGAGGAGTATGACCTACAATAACCTAGTCAATAGGCCGACTCCAGAGCCTGGGTGGTTCGAAGCGGAGGTGGACAACCGAATGCCCAGGAGCAAGAGACGGAAGCAACTTGCGCCGTAATTCTTTGGTAAGTAATTCCTTAGAAAATTGACATACATTCGGCCCGGCTATTTCCGAGCGGTACTCTACATAGCTCTACGTATGTGTGTCCATCCATTGCTTTGCCGCTCTATCTATCCCTTGCAAATACCGTAATCGGATCGCAGCTGCCTTAACGTCAAGCCATTTCTCCTCGCTCACCAACGATGATATAGTTTGAATAGTCTCTCGAATGTTTTCTAACAGTCGTATCAGGGTCGTGTGGTTCAAACTGCGTCACGAACTGCTCACCGTCGTTCATTTGAATGAGTTCATCTATCACGGCTTTGTTCTCCGGGGTTGCTTCATCGATTATCTCTCTGGCTTCCATTATTTCGGCCATGAACGCCAGATCTTCTACCTGTTCGGTTTCGGAGAGAGGAACGCCGTTCTGCTCCAAGATGTACTCCACACGAGGAAGAGGATTGAGGAGACACTGGTATGCTTCATTCAGACGCGAAGAAAGTATGTGTGCGAGGTCTTGTTCTTTCTTGAAGAATATATATTCAGCAATGATAAATTGTACGGGAGTAAAAGGCGTACAGAGGACTTGGAAGCCCATGCATCAGGATGGCAGGCCGCTTGGGCCTCTCTGAATCGCTTCTTGAGGGTAGAAAGGTCGACTACAAAAGGGTTGGGTTCATATGGAAGACCAAATAGGTCATGATGTGTTATTTTTGGTGGTAGCGGAGAGATAGACGAGCAGGAGGGACATGCGGGCAGGCTGGTAGGAAGTGGTTGAGAGCACGATGGGCAGAGTCTTGGTATTGGGGTTGTGGAGGCGAAACGTGCTATGTGAAGTAGTGAAGGACGAGGCAGCCGTACATGAACAGCGCGAAGATGAGGAGGACGGATAGGGAGGCGCAAATACCGCAGAGCTACGCGCACCTGTGGTCGGAGGAGAGACATGGCAGACTATGACGTCGGCGCCTCGGCGGGGCATAGCGGTCACGTTCTGACAGTGGTCCGTGCGCACAGCGCGGGGGTTTATAAGGTGCAGCAGTGCAAAGTGACTCGTTACCACTCTGGCCTTTTGGCTTAGATCAAGTGTAGTATCTGTTCTTAATAGTTTAACCACTATTACGGAGGCACCGCCTCCTAATCTGGTTATCTAATTTTTGCCGCCCCAGTCCCTCGGGCTCTGCTTGCATCCCTTGGGCGCGATGACCTTGCTGCTGCACTATCGGCTTGCGTCGTCGGGGGATCCTCCTTTCGAGGACTTTTCTCTTTGCTGGTTTTCATGCTCCTTGTCATTTGGACCTGGTGCACGAATCCAGCAAACAGACTTGTCTCGATTGTGTGTTGATACTCTGTAAGAGCACACGTC